TAAATAATTCAATTCAAAATTAACTAAATTGATTGAATAAATACTTCTACTAAAAAAAATTATATGAACCGACTGATGAAATAAGCTCGAGATTCGTGACGTTGAGAGTTATTAATTGCATTACTGCCTTAATGCGTATAGCAAACAAAGGTACTTCTTTTTCGGATACCAATTTGAAGAAAAGTCAGTTTTCAAAGGCTAAAAACTCTTCAATTTAATCCATATTATAATTATATAAATTAAAAAATTAAAAAAAAAAAACCCATGAAAGGCTGATATAGTACTACGTTCCTCTCCAATTTTGTGGGGTTTAAGAAGTTTGAAAACTCCTAATGAAATGTCCCACAGATATAGCCATGGCTGTCCCATTCAGTGATGAGGGTTTGGTTGTTTCTTCCTATAGCTATGCCTATAGGCTATGGCCATGGTACTGTCAGCTGCTCCCTTCCATTTACATGTGAAAGAAAGAAGGGACAAAGGTCTGACCCGGCAACTTCTGATTTGCTGCTTGTATTCTTCAGTAAAGGATTTGGTGTTTTTTTATAAAATATTCAATGTGTTTGTAATTGCAATGAAAACTGAAATTATATCATGTTCGATACATACAAGTTAACCCATCAAGACACTCCCTCCCGTGACCTAAATTCCACTCCTTTTTTGCACAATTAGTGGTCTAGAATACATGCACATTCATCACTCAGCTCAACCCTATTTTAGTACAGATATATCATATTTCGATGGCTGCGAATAATAAGTTAAGATACTCGTGAACTACATGAGTTTTGTTGGATAATAAATATTACTTAAATTCAGATCAATTTTTTTTTTTTTGAGTATTTCTAAAACTCATGTTTTTTTTTATCGTGTTTCATATTATTTTAAGACAATTGAAAAAAATTTAAATAGTTAAGTATGATTACGTGAAAGATGAAATACGAGTTTTATTTTTTTAATAGTTTTTTCTAACATCAAAATGTTGTCATAGTAGCTAGGGTTTGAATTTTTTTTTTAAATCGACAAAAACTTTTGTAATATTCAAAGAAAAATGGATAAGAAACACAAAAAAAAAAATTTCTAAAGGAAAACACAAATAATTATAGCTGTCTAATTTGTTTGCATGAATAACTATCTGTTCTCTATAACAGCTAAGCAATTTGTAGGCATTAGATATTATAAATTCTTAGAGAAATAGAAAAAAAAATTAATTAAAGGTAAGAAATTTGCTTCTTGAAAATGGCTTTCTTTTTCTTTTAATTTTATTTTTTAACTTCTAATTTTCTAATTACAAAACGCATTGATATGTTTGTATACTCAGATATGTATCCAACAAAACTTCGATATTGTCTTTGTTTTTTATGTTATTTTTGTAGATTCTTTATTTTTTCTTACACGAATTTCTCTCTCTTTCTCTGCATGCAAACACAACAAAAGCACTAATCACTTAACTTTATAGATTTATAAATTTTGTTTCCATTGTCACATTTGCATGTGAATGTACTTTCCCGAAATGATACTCACGTGAGCTTTGCTATACCGAGTCACAAGAATCCCATATTACTAGTCTGCAAAAAGATAATTTATACAAATCCAAGAAAAAAAAATTTGCAAAGAAAAAGATTGTAATGAGTCCAAACAAGTTTAACCTAGTTAAAAGAGATTTGAGCCGATGATCTTCGACTTCAAATAACTAATTATTTAGTAATTAAATTGATATGTTCGGTTCAATTTGGAAGGGTCGTTAACTTAAATTGAGTTGAGTTTTAAAGTAAGTAATTGTTGGATGAAGCTTTTTTCAAGTTTCACTATGGAAATTAATGTGTCTTTGGCGTAGCTTTGTCATCTTATGGGAATTTATATATTTCAATCATCTATGAGGGATGTCACGGGAAACATTTCTGAATTCAGTAATACAACAAGTCTCTAAAATATAATCTTTATTAGGAATTTGTTTTATTTTGTCACATGATACGAAAACATATAATACGATAATATAATATATATAATTAAATCAACACGAATGAATTTGTTTATGATTTTATCAAATCAAAGTAAATAAAACTCGAAACCTAATAGTGATTAATTAGATGTATATTCTTTCCTTAAGTTGTGAACATCTCATTTTGTTTTTATTTATTTATTTTTTTTGGGTTTGGTCTAGCAATTTATTGCTAGGTATTCTTCCTTGTTGTCGTTTTTTTTATATAATACTTTATAAAACCTTGTTTTTCAAAAAGAAAACATGAAAACGCGTACAGATCAGCAAATATAGCCTCATAATTCACAATCAGTATGCTTTAATTAGGGTTTAGCATGACCTTATTAGGATTACCTGTCCTATTACTCCTATATTTTATGAAGCATGTGAACAACAACAATCAAATCCAAAAGAGAATCTTCTCAATCTCCAACTTTTTTGCAACTAACAATATTTCCCTCTCTTCAGTCATATGACTACTCGAAGCCAGTTCAAAAAAAAAAAAAAAGGGCTTCACCTTTTCAAGAAACAAAACAAAAACTTTCATGAAGTAATTTAAAAAATTTTCATTCGAAAATTGCAAGTATCTCCTTGCATAACTTATAACACAAATTACTCGATATTAACTTCGCTCACGTGAGTAAAATCTTCTAAATTATTTATAAGATTTAAATGTTAGTAGTTCGAGCGTTAAATTAATAATTATTACATACATTTTTTTTAAAAAGAGCTTAAGAAAAATTGCATGAATCAATTGAAAATTCATATTTTTTTTAATGAATTAAGTTAAATACGAATTTTGCGAAGGTGAGAATGAATATTAATTTGATTAGACATATGCTATATAGCAAAGAGATCAATAATATGCACATTGCTTCTGGCATATGCCATAAGAAGAAACTAATAAGAGTGTGAAGACAACAATTGCTTATCTGTTTTTTTATTTGTATTTTTCTTACTTTTTTCTTTAGTTTTCATAACAATGATAAGAATTCTGTCACACTCATTGAACGAAAAGTGTTGAATGAAGGATGGGTATTGTCAAATAATGAATCATTTTCATGCCATTCTACACAAGTTACCAAGTGGGATGGATATTTAAAAACAAACAAGGAAAAAAAAACACTTAAAATCTAAGACCACATTGTTTCATGTTCAAAAGGAAATCAAATCTACAGAGCATTTGACTGAATAATAAGTGCATGTATGGGTTCTCAGTTCAAGATGCGATTGAGTTCTAGTCCCCTTTTCCTCCGAGATTAAAAAAAAATCCTATAAATTAATATTGAAAGTTAAAATGAAAAACTGATGTAGGAGGGGATGAAGAGCAACATTTCCTGGAAGGCAAGAGACAAGGTTGGTGCAGTTATATGTATGAAGAGTATTGTTTTGTTGTGATGATTAAAGGGCACACATGTGAATAGGTGGGTACATGATTTGTCTGTGTGGAATGGAGACAATGCTGGGATTGCAAGGAGCCAACTGATGCAAACTAGCAATAGCTTGCATATGATGAGAAAAAAAAAATCTCTCATGTTTATTTGATAGAATGATACATAACATCTCGTGACAAGTTCATCGGACAATAGCTAGCGATTGATTAGAAATTCTTGCTTCGAGTTCTTCCCAATCGATGCAGATTCATATGATCCATATATACATATTCATCAGTTGAAGATAGGGGATTTATATCAGTGTTTATGGATACCTACCATCATTAGGTTTTCTGTATCTTCCCATGAATAGTGACCATCATATGCCACAGAGAAAGTGTGTTCTTTTCACATCCTCACAAAAGTTAATATTGTTGTCAAATTTATGTACCATTGAGCCTATACGAAAGAGTTTAGATCAGTTAAAAGAGGTTTCTCTTCACAAAAGTTTCTATCTAAATATGTCACTTGAACCAGAGACCTCGCCCGTGAAGTAAATCATCGCACCTACGGTCCAACCAATTGGGAGAGAATCAATAGATTCCTTTTCGGGAGCGATTCATCCTTCCCGAACATAAACCATTGAGACAACTTTTTGCATCATGCCAATATATACATATATATATATATATGCGTGTAATATTAATATTGAACATCAGTCAAAGGTTAATTCTACATGAAATCAGCTTTATATATATATATAACTTGATGATTAAGAGAAGTGTAGAAATGACACGTGTGGAGAGAGAAGATAAAGAGGAGACGGGCTAGCTGGTGAGAGAGGGAGAGGAGGGAGAAGGAAGGAGGCTAAAAATGGCCCCCCGTGAGGAGTATTTGGAGGCATTCCAATTATATCACAAACCCAAAAATTGTTTCTCCTTCACTTCTTTCGATGGCCATTTTTCTCTCCTCTCCATCACGAGCTCATGATTCCCACCCCATTCCCTCATTTTCTTTTACCCTTTTCTGTTTTCCCCAAATAACCTCCTTTTTATTCCTCCTCCTCTAAAAAAAATGTAATTTATATATATATATATAATTACAAGTTAGTTTTTCATCCAAAACTTATATGAAACTTTGAAGTTTCATACACAACTAACATACACAACTAAGAAAAGAGTTTGAAAACCGGTCTATACAATTATTCTTTGCCATTTAAATGAATAAAGCTTGCTTATCAATATCTATATATTTCATGCATGCCTGAAATTGATCAGCCAATTAATAAAGCTTAAACTTATTAAGATTCTATACTTTCTTTGATATTTTTTCTTAACGAGATCACAATATATTCTGCAGATAAAAAGGATTACAGGTATTAAAATTCAATCTCAAACTTATTAAATGTTACTTTTTAAATGATTATATGAACCAATTAATGTAAGCTCTGGGTTTTTCTTTGTTCTTTAGTAAATTTTTAGACTTCAATTTTGTCAATTATATATAGCTTTAACATAGCCACTACCTAAAGCGGGGTCATTTATTCCCACAAAAATTGTTGATAATATATATATATATATATATATATATATTCTTTGAACTTAAAAATATTAACAAGAATTGAGGGGGCAGTGTGGTAAAATGGGATGCAATCTATGTTATATTGCGGTGGGAATTAGAAACTGACGCAGTCATGTGGGAAGCAAACATGAGGATCCTATAGATTTGAGAGCTCATCCCCTCTCTTTTAAAACAAGCCTCAGAGCATACAGCAAAGCTGAGAGTTGAAAACAAAGAAGAAAAAAAAAAGAGGAGAGGTGATCACATAACAAAAAAAAAAAAAATGGTTTCTAGGGAGCACAAGAGGGCAGGAGTAATGCATGAGAAGCTGCAACTTCTTCGTTCCATTACTAACTCTCATGCCGTAAATTCCCTCTATCTATCTAATATCTGTATCTTCTGATGAGCCCCTATTTTGCTTTCATTGGCTTTCTCTTTTATTATTCCACAAATTCATCAGTCTTTGTTCATCATCTTTTCTTCTGTTTTATATTTAGATACTGTTAGTTAATAGTTCTTTGTGTCACTACTGTTTCTTTCTTTCTGGGGTCTATGTGTTACCAATTATTCACTTCTTTTCTGCCTTATTATAATCTCTATCCACTGTTCTTGCTTCCTTTTCAAACATATCCAATGCTCAAGTTTCTTGACTTACATATATATATATATATATATATATATATATATCTAAATCACCAACAAGAAAAAGTAGTAGGGAAGGATTAGAAAGATGTTAGCCTTTGAAGTTTTGGAATATCAGTGGCTTCTTTTCTGGAATCAGAGGGTTTTGTTATTTGGTATCTGATGCAAACAGCAAACTACATATTTGAGCAATTATCTCTCATTGAATATTATAATTAATCTTCTTATTAAATCTATGTTGCCTGTGTTTCTGTGAAAAAATGATCAATGGAAATTAATTAAAATAGAAAAAGGAAATAAAGGAAGAGCAACTTTGTGATAACCCCAGTTTAATTGTAAATATATGGCAGCTGAACAAAACATCAATCATAATAGATGCATCAAAGTACATTGAAGAGCTAAAACAGAAAGTAGAAAGACTGAATCATGATATAACAGCAGCTGCACAAACTTCAAATGATCAAAATCCATTGCCTATGGTAATCTATTCCAACCTCTGATGTTTACAAATTACTTTTTAGCTTGTTTAATTTCCTCAATCCTCATTGAATCATTCATCTTTCTACTGTTCTTTCTTTTGTGCTTCAAGTTCAACACTGTACCTTCTCTCTTAGCAGGTTACAGTAGAAACCCTAGAGAAGGGTTTTCTGATAAATGTATTTTCAGAAAAAAGCTGCCCTGGTCTACTTGTTTCTGTGTTGGAAGCCTTTGAAGAACTGGGTCTTAATGTTCAGGAAGCTAGGGTTTCTTGCACTGAGAGTTTTCGATTACAAGCAGTTGGAGGAGAAGTAAGAGTGTCAACCTTTTTTATACTATATATATATCTGTTTATCTTCATACATAAGTTGTAATTATTCTGTATCAATTAAAGAATTATCAGAATGTGATAAATCTTTTCTTATATTTCTTGCTGATATGCTAAATTTGGAACCATGATTGGTTTTTCTTGAGTTATCTCTAAGTATGATTTTGTAATGGAAAAATATTATGATTTGCATCCTAATTATTAAGACTATGACAAAAAGTTATTTTTGTTTTTTGCAGAATGAAGAACAAAGTGAATCTATTGATGCACAAGTGGTGAAACAAGCAGTGTTACAAGCTATTAGGAATTGGAGTGAAAGTACTGATCCACAAGACTAAATGGATTTTTATTGTTATCCATTAACTTTCTTGCACGCCATTTTCTTTTCTAGTGTAGGTTATTGGCAATGTTGTTTAATCAGTTATTAATCCCAAATTTAATGTTACAAAGTAGAGTGAGGAAGGTTTTCCAAACTTGTCAATCAAATTGGTTGAGTTGAGTTGGTAAAAATCGGATATTTCGGTTTGTACAATTTAAATTGAATTTTTGATACTAACAATTCTCTTGATAAACGATCCGTAAATCTAATATCAGTTTTCATTAAGTCTTAGGACATACTCTGACTATACTCTGACTCTGACAATGAAATGGAGCAAACTTTTTTCAACTAAACTATTTCCATAAAAAAAAGTTTTCCAAAGTTGTTGATATAAATATATATATATATATATATATTCAGGTGCACCATCTCTCATCCAATGTGACCTAATTCAAGTGGCAGAAGCTAAAAGCTGGTTGTATCACTAAAACAGTGCTTGCAAGGCTGGATGAGTAAATGACACACAAAGATTTTCTATATCACAGTTTCAAACTGACATGATGAGAAAAACAATGTGATGATGATGTAGAAGTGTCAAGTATGGGCAAGAGAAAGCTATATGCAGTATACAATAACCTAACAACAATTCTTTTTAGTTTCTTTTATTCTTATATATATCTATATGCAACAGAATAAAGATGCTAGCGAGCTAGTTGTTGCATATAATTAATACTCAGGAGGTTTTCCTCACATGTTGCATGTAGTTTCCATGCCCATGCATGTATGTTGCAACTTGCAAGAATTTTTGTTGGTTTATAATAATTTGTTGGGTTTTCACAGTTATATGAATCTATAATTTTAATTTCTGCAAATATATATCTACATACATACATACATACTATATACATGTATGTATGTATGTATGTATGTATGTATGTATGTATGTACGTATGTATGTATATGCAGAGGCATTTCCAGGAAGCATGGAATGGAAGATGGACTGGTAGGCTGGAATTAATAGGCAGCTATGCCAAGCTAGGAATGATATAAATATAAATTACTTTCAAGTAATGATATAAATGTTCTAATAAACTAATAATATTAATGTTTTTAATTAAATATATATAATGTATTAGCAATTGATCAATGGATATTGTTGTCGGTGAGTGAATCTCAAAACGAACAAGCTATAGAATTATTATAACTCTCATGATTCAACATGGGACCAGTGGCAACTACTGCTTTCACTCTCAGAGTAATTGGACTTGTCTATCATGAGAAATTATAATTTTATTTTCTTTTTGAGTGTGAGATTCCGCACTTTTTTTTTCATAGTTCCCTTAATTTTTTTTTGTTTTTAGGTTCCATTTGAGAGCTCGATGAAAATGCTCCTACCAATACGTTAATGACAACTTGTTTTATGACTGAACCCTTAATGGAGCGTTTATCAATGTTTTTTGACATCCAATGCTATTTGTTTTCACCTAAGTTGCATCAAAGACTTGTTCAGGAACTAGTATTTAAGAAGCAAATTGCCACAGCTTTTAGGTTTGTGGTATTCTTTTTTTTATCTCTAACCAATGGTTTAAGCAGCTTGCATTTGCTTTTTTCATCTAGAGCCTAAGCAAGCACTTCACTCCATTTTATTTCAGGGAGAAAGGAGACAGATTATTCGATTCATTGGTAAATCTTGGCTGTCCTTTCTCACATCTACTGTGTCTGTATGCATTTATTGTCTGAAATCCAAACAATGATATCAACTTTTTTTTTTTTTTTTTGGTTTCATAGTAAGATCCCAACTTTGCTCCCTGTTATCAAAATTGGACAGCTTTACCAGAACATGTATCAACACTGTTTTTCTTTTCATTAAACGTAAGGAAAGAACAAGCAAATTGAAAAAGTAGTTCTAAATATTACATTTTCTTGGTCCAGAAGAAACTAAATCACCTGTTTCATACGGCCTACTAATGGATACAATAACTCTTGAGTTTCCATCTCCTCTTTTGTCTGGAAAACGAGTTGAGTTCACACAACTAAACCACATGGATGTTCCTGAAAAGAACACTTGCGTTATTTGAGCCTCCGACAAAAACCAGCAACATAAAGCATTATTCCACCTTCAAAGAGAGTGAAAAGGACAGAAAAGATCCTGATAAGACCAAGGTTGAGTTGGTGCTCTAGAGGGACTAACTCAGATAATCAGAGGTCCTTCAATCACTTTCTTTTAGATGGATCCCGGCTGAGTCCATGCTTCTTCAGTGTTTTGATATAATTTCTCATGAGGGTAAACTTGTTGATCCCAAGATTGTAGAAATAGTCCCAAGAATAAATCCCAGTTTTATGCAAATCATCAAAAACTATCCTGAACCATCCACCCAAAAATGACACAAATATGAAATAAACAGGGAAAACTTATTCAAGCATTCAGTCATATGTAACTTTACCAAGAAACTAATATGGTGAAATGAAGAACTTAGTGAAGGTACCTTACCCCATAGTTTCCTACAGGTTCGGTATACATTATCCCCACATGGCGCCGCCCAGATATTACCTGATAAAGGAACATGAAACTTGCTCATCTAAAAGAGAGATAAAGTCTCTTAGAGGGTCAAGAGGAAAAATAAATTTAAAAGGTTAACACCATCAAGTAGATATTAATCCCTTGTGCACAATGCCAGTAGACCAAGCAAAATATGCGACTTACTAGACTAGGGCAATACCAGAATAAAATATATATACCTTTTCACCTCCGATTGATCTAATCTTGCCATCGGCAGCTGGGCTATAAACTCGCAAAAACTCAGCTGACAAGCTGAACTTGCTACCATTTGCATATTCTACATCTACCTGAACAAGGTTTCAACATGACAGATGAGCATTTCAATACGATGACAGATAAAAAGCTCAGTCATTGGCATGAAAACAGAGATTAAGCAATATGTCTTTCTAATGAATCATTAATTGGTTTATCTCGCTCAATCTTTAACACAGATTCACTAAACAAAGTTCGGACGCAAAGACTCAAACTAGCAGTGTCTGCACCACGAATTGAATGACCATTACCGGGCAATTTAAGCACCAATAATCACCCCATTCCCAGGTTCCACTTCCTTTGGCACAAACAAATTTCAACAACTCAACAAGTAAACTAATCAATAATTTTCTTTGGCAACTTAGCTAATATCCCAAATGATTATTTCTACTTCCAAAGAGATATAACGAAGCTAAAATCAAATGGGAACTCAAAAAAACCATCCGGGTCTGATTATATACCAAAATTAAAACAACCCCATATCAAAAATCAAAACAAAAATCTCATTAAATTAGTAAACGAGAATAAACCAACTAAATAATTAATATAAAAAGAAAAAATTAATAAAAAAATGAAAAAAATTTACACTTTTGGGTGCGTTAAGAGAGAAGCTTTTGAGGCGTGGAGTATCCACGAGAGTGTGGATCCTTTGAATTGCTCTCTGCATAGCTGAAATTGTTTTCTTCCGAGTGCGACTCACTTTTTCTGAAGCTGTAAAAGTGTTGGATTTGAGCCTTGCTTTTGTTGGACAATTCTAGCCCATTATTTTTAATATTTTGGGCTAACAAAGTCAATTCTTGTATTGGGCTTGAATTATCATGATTTTTTTAAACCTAATAATTAGTATACTTAAATATACCATATAAAATATTAAAATTTATGCATTTATATTATGTTTTATACAAAAAATTACATATGATAATTTTTGTCGATGTGAAAATATAAAAACTATTTTTTTTGTTAAACTTCTATATAATTGTTATTAAAATTTGAAACCGTATTATCTTTGTATCATTTATTTATATTATATTTGTACCGTATCATTGTATCATATTTTAAATTAGTAGGTCTAATTTTTTTTTTTCACTTAAAAAAAAGAAAAAAGGATTATCTAGATTAATATTTTAATTTTCCCTAAAAATTATTATTTTAATTTTAATTTTTTAATCATGATGATTAAATTTCAATTGGAAACTGAAAAAAGATAAAATCAACTTGTCCAAACTATAAAACTTAATAAATTTAGTGTTTGTTTTAGAAAAAGTCAATATTTAGGGATAAGTTTGTTAATTTGATAAATTAATAAGGAAATATGGATATTATTCAACTTTTAAAGATTTTTTAATTATAAATAAATAAATATTCCCTAATTATAAATCCTCGCCTGCCAAGGGTAATTATGACTAAAATATTTTACATTTTATATATGAGTCTATATTTTTATTTGACTAAAATATAGAAAGAGGGAGATAGAAAAAAAATATTGGTTCTGAATATTCTGACTTATTTATTTCTATAAATAAAATTAAAATATTAATATTAATTAAGGCATCAATCTTAAAATATTAGTATTAATTAAGTAAAGAATTACACCACTTGACCCTATTGTTTAATTCTTGGGGGTGATTCCTATAAAAAAAAATGAAATCTTTTGGTTGATTAAGGACCACAATGAAGATAAGTTTCCAATAAATAATTCTTTCAAGTTAATTTCACTCTAATAAATTAACAAAATAAAAAAAAAATCTCATTGTGAGGTCTATCATTATATTATATATAATTTTTATATAAAATATAATATAAATATATAAATTTTAATATTTTATACTATATAAATATATAAATGAAACCTCCCATTTAACCGGAAATGTCAGCCTTACGGGGCAATTTAAAAATAAAATTTTTTGCATTAGATTAATACTAGAGCCTGTTCAAATAAATTTTAATCGAATTATTAAAAAATTAAAATAAAAAATTCAGTAATTATCTATCTAATTTTTATAGTAACAAACCCATGATGATAGCAGTGACGATTAATCAGATCGTACAGGGATGACAGAAGCCTCATGCCTTTGATAATTTTTAATACCAAACTGATGTTTGATTTTTTGTGGGATTATAAATTTGATCTTGTAAGTTGTCTTGGAGCTTTCTAACTTATTAGGCCTATCTTGTTGACTAGAAAATTATTTGTAAAGCATGTTTTTTTTAAGCCTAAAATCATCTAATCATCTTTGCAAGAAGGTATCTTTGGTGGGTTGGCAATGGATACTTTGTTTTTTTCAGTGCTTTTGCCCTTCCAATGGGTTATTGAGACACTAATTTCAATAATAATTTATATATATAAGGTTATAGCTTGAGATACAAGAAAAATAATAAATGTTAAAATTTAAATTTTAAACTTTAAATTTTTTATATTATTTTTTAAGAGTAATAATATTAATCAATTGAATTAAAATTTAAATTTAATTTAAAAATAAATTTAATGATAAATTCGGTTTGATTTAAATTAATCTACAAAAAATAATTTTTTTATAAAAAAAGAGTTTATTATTAAAAATATAAAATTTAATTATTATAATTTATAATAATTAATTTTAAAATTATCACTTGTCATCTATAGTATTAGTGACGATATCTATTAAAAGATAATGCATGACTTACTAAAGCAGTACCCACTTGAGAGGGTTGGAGTTGATGATGTCAATGGTTTCTTAAATTTATTCATCAAAAAATTTGATTATTTGGTGAAAATAATACTGACCAGCTTGCTTAAGCAAGGATGATCAATTGTTTTATGGGGAGCTTGTTTCTCATAGGTTTACAAGTCTAATCAGATTCCTTTGTTTAATTTAGTCAAATATGTCATTGTAATTAGTTCTCGAGTCAATTCACACACAGTGATCAACAGATAAGCATGTGTTGAAATTATGTTTATGAATTTTTTGTTTTTTTGTGTCTTTTTCTTTTCTTTTACTTTTGTGTTGCTGATGAGGTTTGGTTTTCCTAACTGTCAATTATCAGATCGAAGTTACTGAATGCTACAATCGACCAATCATACGTACGAGATTCATCTACGTATGTATTTCATACGAATTTCATATTAACTTATCGCTCTCTAATTGAGTCGTTGACACTTCAGCATGGGCCAATCGTGTCAGTCCTAACCTTATCACTTAGAGCTCGAGCCATCTAGGTCCGGCACCTTCATCGTATAGGTATAAATAAGTGTATTCCCTCAGTATAATTAATTCAACTTTCATATCTACTTTCAAGTTTTCTCTCTTTTTTACCTTCTTTTGGAGCATTGATTTGAGCATCGAAATGCAAATCCCAAAAAGACCATCAACTTTTGCTATTAACCGACCTTAGATTCTGTGATTTCAGGTTTTACCCTTGTCAACAAACACATACTTCTTTCCAGGTTTAGATTATTGAGTTTCATATTCAGATTCCTTTCTCTGCAATAACTTATACAGATTCATGCACATGAATAAACAACTCTTGGCTGATGATCCACTTCAGTTTTAAGTGCTAAGCACGAACCTAATCCAGTTATCTCTATCCCCAACAATTGAAAAAAATAATATCATTACAGAAACAGGCCAAAAAAGTTAACAATAAAGAAATGAAAGTGCTCATGCATTATGTTGCAGAAAGGTTATGAAGAAACATAATTTTAGCAGACATCCAGGAGCATCTATCTGATTCTCTACCGATGCCGGCTTTTTTTTTTTTTCTCTTTCTTTTTCTTCCATTTCCCACTTTTTCCTGTAAAGTCAAGTTAAAGAAAAAAACATGTGTTGTTTTCTGAGGCAACAAATGAAGAAAACATTGGACACTTTCATAATGATGTGTGACAGTACAAAGAAATTTACAGTTACAAGAGTAGACAAGATAAAATTGTAACCTAATCAATGACAGGGGGCAGTGGATTAAGCTTTTATGGCTCTCTGGTCAATCGCAACAAGCTTGGCTAGAAAGAATAAACAAGACACACAATGATCAAATCACAGATAATTTTAAAAGGACACCGTCTTGATGAGTACAATTTCAAAGGTTAAACACAAAGCAAGAAGGTGAAAGAGTTGAAGTGGAGAGGAAAGTTGAAGTTTTGATAGCAGATATCATCACTCTGAACGACTTTTTCAGAACTTTTTTATTGCTAAAATGGAAGGATTTTAGAGAAACTTGGGCATAGGAGAAGTTATGTTCAATTGCCTATATCCCAAGGAGAAAAGAACTATCCCATGAGAGAAATGAATCCACACTATCAATCCATTGCTTTAGTGATTCTTCTTGAATAGAGGTGGTTTCACCCATTGAGGGATTGTTGGATTCTTCCACTGAGAATGAAGATGTGTAAGAGGAAGAAGTATTTGTTTCTTGGTTCAACCATGAGTCTAAATCAAAGCTCCCACACAACATTTGGTAATTGTTCAATAAATCATTTGTATCATCCAAAGTTACTTGAATTTCTTCTAGTTTCTCATCTTTTCTTGGAGAAACTGTCATGCCATGATCATCCTCTGACTTTGACTCTAAGCTTGCTTCTTGTTTATTAGATGAATTTGAAGAATCTGAGGTCATCTTATTTTTACCATCTGTTTTCTCTGCCTTGTCAATAGGTTTGTGTGTCACAGGGTCAAGACCAAGGAGCTTTAACTTCTTCTTAATTCGAGTGTTCCAATGATTCTTGATTTCGTTATCTGTACGACCAGGAAAATGTGAAGCAATCTTGGACCACCTACAAAAAAATTTTTTCTTGTGTTACAAGGGAGAATCAACTGGCAATAATATTTGATCAATCTAGGCATCATATGGCAAGGAAGATGGTGATGTTTACCTGTTTCCTAGACACGAATGAAGTTGAATAATCTGATCCTCTTCTGATTCTGTAAAACCCCCTCTTTTAAGGTCAGGCCTTAGATAATTTATCCATCTTAATCTGCAACTTTTTCCACATCTTAACAATCCTGCATCGACCATACAAAAATGCCAACATTTTAGGCATACCATACCAACTTAATCACAAGTTTATGCATGTGCCTGGGAAGAACAATTACCTGCAAGCTTGGGAACAGTTCGCCAGCAATGAATACCATTGTTGAGAATAAAATTCATCAGCTTATGATCTTCCTCAATCGTCCATGGACCACGTTTTAATCCAACCTTATCACAACAAGGTTGTCGTCCCATTTCGAAACCTTAGACAAGCAAAAGTCAGTGACCCCTTGAAAATTCTAGACTAGAAATCTAAAGGGTGCTTAAAAGGAACTTGCAGATGCTATGCCAGCTAATTCAGACATTTAAAAAGAAAAGGCAGGATGATGTTGTTCAAGAAGGGAGATTCGTGATTGAATGGAGAAAGCAATTAAAATATGAAAGCTTTGTTATTTATAAAAATGGCTGGCCACCTCCCTTGTTGAGACAATGGAAATGGTCCTATATATAAGAACCAAACGTGGGTAGTCCTCGTTGACAAATTTATTGCAGCAACTAAAGTCTTTCTTCTAATTGGTTTTGATTTATATAAAGAAAACCAAAGAAAATTTTAAACATTTCATAGGATTCCTTGGTCCCCTAAATAAGCTGGCCAGTTTTGTCGTTGGAGCCAACTTTCTCCTCTGTAAGTGCCCTAAAATTCCAACCATGGATTTGCTTGTGTATTGTTTCACTTATGTTGCTCCGACTCTTCATTTTCCTTCATTTTCTTTAAAATAACCATGTTTGACACATATTCGACAAACATATATATGAGTATTTAACTTTTAATCTATACGAAAAAATTTCAAGAAATATAAATGTATCCGTATTAAACACATATTCATAGCTCGATCCGAGTAACATGGACATTGACAAGTCAATGTAACTTGGTAACAAAAATGGTTAACTTAACAGTCAATGTTTATACACTTGAGAATAGAAAACAACAGAAGTAAAAAAAATTAAACCCACTCGTGTATCTCATTCTTAATTGTTTTTGTCAAAACATCAATTCAGTGGTTCTTCAGTAGCAATCATGTTTTGGTTTTTTTTTAGCTTAAATATAACAACTTTCCTTCTTTCTATTGGATGTTAAATGGCTTCTAACTAATTAAATTTTGGATTAATTTGAGGTTAGCTTAACCTCAACAGTTGCTTCCTAAATTATCCTTGACTTAAACACCAATGATCTGATGACTTTCTACACAAGAAACTTCAAAGCTATAAAAATTAGGCATATATTTGAAGAAATCAAGGACTTGACTTGGCTTTTATAATTAATAAATCAGTTTCTCTGATTCAGCCCTTTGATTTTGTCAGTTATAATTCCCTTCATAAATGAAAGTCGAAAAGGAACAGACAGGGACCTTCAGGCCAGTGAAAGGATAAAAGGCTGACCACAATTTTCTCTACAGGAGACAGCAGGGTCACACTGTTCATTAGAACTTCTCAATTGCAGTAATGGCTTATGAAAAAGAATGGCAAAATAACAAGGAATAAACCTAGAGAAACTGAATTTAATAGACTTATCAATTTAAAACATTACAGTAAAATATATTTTATATTTTTTATATCAACACAAATTATAATATATAATTTTTGTATAAAACAAAATATAAATACATGATATTTTACACGTACGAAAATACGAATTATTATATCTAGAATTTAATTACACTTTGTATGTAAGAAAGGGAATTGTATAAATTTTATTTTAGTGGGACTCCTCTCCAACACATTCCCTTAACACAGAAGGAAAATTGAAAAGGAAAGAAACAAAATGAAGGTAATCATATCTTCTGGTTCATGCATGTACAAAGTGATGAATATTCCCAATAATGCACAATAATTCATGTTACAAATTTTTTGTTTTTGTTTTGGGGTCAATGCTGGCCTTGTTTGGGGTTAAAAAAACAATAAGCTAGAATATCTTAACAAGATTGTGCTTGCTGACAAAGCTTCTGTTACATTCTTTTGTTCTTTATTTTTAATACTATATTTGGCAATGATTTTGCTGCTCTATATAATCACCAGGTTAATGTATCCAAGTTCTCCCAATGTGAAAAGGCTCCAAACTATTGAAAGAACCCCCCCTTAGTTGATACCTTTGTCACTGAAGACATGAACCAACTCTTGAACAGATCTTTCCCATTTGATTAATTGCATAATCAAAGTCTATGTTCTTTATGTTTAATCCAATTTCATTTTTTTATAATACGGGTATTTTTAGGTTTTTTTTAAACTAATTTTCTCTCAAAACTATTTTAAAGTCGTATTTTCTCACCAATGACTTGAGCGTTCAGGATTTTACAGCCGAAATATTTTTCACAAAAATCCAACTTTGGTTGACTGGAAAAAAAGCTCTTCAATCATTTTTTACCAACTGAATTAAACCTCATATCGTGAGACTTAATCTACAATTTCAAGCAAAGAAGACATTTAATCAAAGATATTTAGTTTAACTATAAAATTTTTTTTCCCTTTCATGACTGAAAATTTTATTGTTTTCCCTATTGGAAGTATTGAACCAGTCGTGATCTATGACATAATCTTTGGTGAAACATGTCAAGAGCAAAGATGATTAGGTGGTGACAAAATTGCACACCACCTAAACAGCATCTACCATCCTGCTAGAAAAACCCTACCAAAATGACAACTGCTTAAAATATATATACTACTCTCAAGTTGTCAATGACACCTAACCAAGAACTTGAGCACAACAAAAAAAATTACTTAATTTTCTTTTCCCTGTTCATGAGAATATTGAATATAGCATGATCCTACATCATATATTGTAGTCCATCATGCTACAGCAAACAATGTATATTAAATGAAGGAAGATTTGTGATTTGTGGCTTGAGAAGGAGAATAAGGGATTATAAAATTAGCAAGTTTGCAACAAATTATAATTATCATAACCTTGTCTACACATTTGCAAAAAATCATGCCTCCCACATTCTCTTGGAAGAGAATTGACAATTTTCTTGATTCAACCTAGCTATGATAGAATCAAATCGCAAAGGTAATATAAATTTACTTTTGATTCATTTATTGAATTACGTATTGAAAAGTTTCGTCTGGATTTGGATCTCGATTTTATTGTACGTGAGTTTAGTTCAATTTTATATTGATTTATTTTATTACTCTAATTTTTTTAATAAAAAAATGTTTTTCTCGTTCCATTTTAAAGCAATGTTGTCTAACTTGATAATCACTAATAAGATTAACACATGATTATGATGGAAACAACAAGGAAAGATACGAGGATGAAGCACAAAGTGGTTTCAAATTTGATTCCTTTTTAATTATTTAAAACCTTTGCTTGACTTGCTTAACATTGTTAGTGACTTCATTAATGGAGTCCTTGATTGTCAGATATACTTGTCCTGATCTAATTCAATAGTTCCAACATGAACATTGTCAGACTAAAGAAATGTCTCCCTCATTTGGGGTCTATTATCATATATCTGCAGGCAGATTAGCCTACTGTTTTAATAGTTTTTGATGAATATTCTGGTGATGCAATACTGAGTTCTAACCTTTTCGTACATAACTGAGCAGTTAAACCAATAATATGAATGTTCATCCAAGAAAAAGAAATGGCTTCAGTTTCTTTATTCATCAGCCTTAAATGTTATTATCAAAGCCAAAACCACAGAATTTGCTGCCATAATCATTGACATCCAACTAAAAAAGTTTATCTGCCATTTTCCCCTAGCATCCATGAACCATTTTCTGCATTCAGCTGTCTTTCAAACGTTGCTGCAAACTGAATTGCTATGTTTCTCCGATTCTGGATGAGTGTCGGATAAGGGTATGTACACGTTCAATTTTTTTTTAACCCACACTCCATACTCTTATCCGTCGTATATGTGTTAGACATGAATATTTCGAGAAAATAGACGAATCCCATTACATAGTTGAATTTTATCATATAACTTATAAATATACTCCAAATGATACAAATTCATTGGCATTCAAGAAAAAGAAATGTTGTGAAAGTTCGAGAAAATTGCCCCTTTATTCTCAAATAGGCAATCTCATGGCTAGTTTCAGTTAGTAAAGTGTTGTCACAATCTCCCCATTTAAGATGGAAAATCTGATGGATTTTTTTTTAATCTTTTAATTAGTTTTTTTATCATAAATTTTGTTAATTTTTAAGATAAAAAATCTTTTTGACATTATTAACAATACGAAAAAATAAATAAATTTGTTCGAACCAATTCAAGAAAGAAAAATATTGGATAAAGCTTGAAAACTCTTTTAACGTTAAAAATAACATGAAGAAGAAATTGAGATTAAATTTTTTGCAAATGAAATTCAATAGTAAACTTTGTTAGGTACCGAAATATTAAGATAGAAAATGATGGGGAGAGAAAGAGAAAAAAATATAGAAGCATAAATAGGATATGCTTGATAAAGAAGATTTTAAAAATGATTGGAAAGGAAAAACAAGGTATAAATATCTCTATCATGATGACCAGTGAGGGTTGAAAATAAATGAGAAAATAAAATACTATTTTTTTCAATTAAAACGATGCCATTCATAACAGTAAACTTGAAAGTGAAATTTTTATATAAAATAAAAAAAAATATTAAGTTTACAACATTTAACTTTCAATTTTTTTAAAATTCTCCTCAAAGTCTTACTTTTTCACTAAATATATAATTTTTTAATACGATGAAAGCTTTTCGATCGAACTTTCAAATGAAGCTTTAGACTTGATAGTCTTATGCTTCTTGTCACTTTTCTCTTTTACCAAACACAAATTAAATATTTTTTTTCTTCAATTTCACACCATCACTTTCTATCTAATAATATTTTCTAGTTTCTACCTTTGTCATAAGTTAATGCAACAGCTTGTTCAAACCTTTCCTCCTTTTTTCAACTTTGATTAAGAAAAAACCTTAATCTTCAAGCTCAATTTTTTTTTTATTCTCATTGAAAATTATTATGATATGACTAATTTCACAATTATATCTTTTCTTGAAAGAAGAAGTGGCTACAAATTAGTGAAGGATAAGATTTTATTGAGTATCCATTATTAATTTATAGTGTACCTTAATTTTAGTATCACGGATCTAAGGAAGAGTCTTAAATCTCATATCGAATATAAAAGTAAGATCATTGGGATATAAAAAAGTTTACATCATCTCTTCTTTGTGATACACTTTTTGTATGATAAAATCGTGAGATCATGAAATCAGAGCGGACAATACCTCATAAGGGTGTCATATCGAATATAAAAGTAAGATCATTGGGATATAAAAAGGTTTACATCATCTCTTTTTTGTGATACACTTTTTGTAGGATAAAACCGTGAGATCATGAAATCAGAGCGGACAATACCTCATAAGGATGTGAATTATGGTAAGTAGATTGATTTGAGACGCTGAATGAATGGATGCCCAGGTCTTAAAGTCGCGCAAGTTTGAAACTTAAGTCTCAACCCGTGACATTAACACTCGGTTGAATCCATTAATTTCTTTTAATTTAATTATTATCACTATCTTAATTATATTCTTTTTGAACTTTTATTAATATATAGCTTCTTCTAGGATTTTCCTTCCAACTCTTTTTTTTTTTTTTTATTTGTCTTCATTCAACAGCAGCCTCCACTAGTCACTAATCCATCAAAAACAAACAAATCTTCCTAACAATTTTGGTTTATCAAGCTAAAAGGATTACCTTATTATTTCCCACTTGCAAATGAATTTTTTTTTTAAAGTAAAAACACTATTCTTATTTCTTCATGTCACAATAGCTAGGATAATACAAACTTAATTTTGAATGCATTAGATTAAGATATTACTTTATTTAAGGCAATCCGATGTATAAAACTTTCATTAGGTGAGAGGTTGGGAAAAGATTCAAACCAATTAAATCTAATGGAGATAGCTTTATCTTGCATTTTCACAAAAAATTATTTTCGTAATTTGAACCCATTATCTCCAAATCATATGAAAACAACCTTATTATTATGCTAAGGCTCCCCTACTTAAATATTACTTTATATAATAATTTTAAAAAATATCCATGTACTCAATAGCAAGATCTTAAAAAGAATTACGAAAGAATTCGATTTTAAAATTTTAAAAATTTTAAACATTTTATTTAATTTGAAGGTGTAATTGATTACTTACATAATTGTCATTGATATCAACACTATCAATAATTTTTTGTACATATCCTGACTTCTACGTATATATTACGAATAAAATTTTGATTTAATAATAAAAAAAATCGTAAAAAAGTTGGTGAGTTGGCATGGATAGATATGAATTATGAGATTTTTTTATCTTCCTTGTGTTTTATCAATTTTTTTCAATATATGCACAAGGGTAGAGTTTTCGCATGGTTTTATAATATGTTTCTTTTTCTTTATAACACACAAAAAAAAAAAAAGATTCTAAAATTTTGAGGTTTATTGTTTGAGTCTCAACATATATATAGGTTTCATTCAATTTTTTGTTAAATTTATCCAATTATATGTTAATTTATTAATTTATTTATATGATTTAATTCATCGATTTCTAATAATTAATATAATATTTGATTATATAATTATAACTTTTCATATACTTATAATTTCATAAATAACATAAAATAAAATCTTATGTATAAATAATTAATTAGGTAAAATTTTAAATGCATCACACATAATTTTAAAATTTTCATGTCCTTATTTATATTATATATATTTTTTTTATTAATTATATTACTTCAACTAAACATAATATCAAATATAAGAAACTATTTGATGTTAACAAGATGTCATTTTAGTGTATAAATCCTTCCTTCTTATAAAAAAAAAATAAAAATCTTTTCTTTTTCATTTATAGTCTTTCCAATGACTCAAACGTGTCAACCTAACTTGAGGTGACGTGGCAAATTCAGAGATTATGGGTCCCACGATGAAAAAATTAGTGGCCGCCCAAATCCATTCATGGATACTGACGCTCCTTGATTAAGATTTAATACGAAGGGAGTTAATCTGCTGCACTACGAAGTATTCTAAGCTTTTCATTCATCCACGTGGCTATTGATTAGCTTCTAGAAGAAGCCATTCGTTGAACATTGAATTTTTTCGGCCAATTAAAACATTGAGTTCAAATTTCAAATTATACCTTTCTTTTTGGAATTAAATAATGTTTTTTTTTTGTATTTGATAAATCAAACATTTGAATTTTTTTTTTTTAAGCAAAGGATAAGAAACTGTTATTGGATTAAATAGTAGAATTTTTTTAACCTTGTTTTAGTTAAAAAACTTTAAAATAATGAGTAATTTAATTTAAGATTATAACGGTTTTTAGTAATTTGTAATATTGTATAGTATAAAATATTATATTTATATTATATTTTATACAAAAATCATGTGTTATAATTTATGTTGACATAAAAATATAAAATATTATTTTTTAATTTTATTAAATCTATTTATGATTTTTAAAAATTTTAAATCATATTATTTTTATTTTTTACTTATATTATTTTTTTATTATATTCTCATATCATGTTTTAAATTATTAGATTTAAATTTTACATTATATTTGCAAATCACTTAAAAAAATTATTGTCAATAAGATTCGAATCTATATCTTCAAAAGTATTCAAATTTTACTAACTCAATTAATCCCTTTTAACGTTTTCTTTTTTTACTATTTTAGTTATATTAATTTGTATAAATTATTGCCATTCATGATTATACCAAAAGAATTTATTACATATAAGATATGATTATACCATTAATAATTTTCCTAGCTAATCTAACATCACAAGTTAAGTGGCACTAATTTAGTTAAAAAATAAAACAAAATATGTATATATTTTTTCATTTTAAAAAATATAAATTTTGACACTCAAGTGAAAAATATGAAAAAAAAAAAGGAAGTATGTTAATATTTGGCCAAAAAAAAAACCATAAAAGTATAGGTTAGTTTTTAAATTGAATGTTTGAATATTTTAAAAAAATAAATTTTATATTAAATAACATTTATATGAAATTAAAAATATTAAAATTTCATTTTCTAAGTGCAAATAATGTTGTCTTATTTACGAAAATTCAAATTACAGCAGTTAAAGTTAGTTAGTACTTTGTAGTAATTGATATCCTTTTTACCATTGGATGATGAAGTGGCAGAAGCTAATTGGAAATCAACCGGTGGAGGTAAAAAGCAAGATCAACCGTGAAACACAGGGGATCATCACCGAAAAAACGGGGGAAAACTAACGACCGAATATAAACCGACGCGAACGGTCGAAACGAGAATAGCAACCTCTCTTTCTTCCCCCGAATATTCTCTCTCTTTCTTGGTCCATTTTCTTTTCCTTTGAGTTTTCAAGCACTTGAAAGAAAATCCAAACAAACAAAAAAGAAAATTTTTTGGATTTAAAGAGCAGCGATTCTCGACCCAAAGACTCAGATGAATGAGTTTGGTTGTTTTTCATTGGTTTTGAAAAGAGCGCGGCATCGATGGGGGATCGTAGGAGGCACGGTGTCGTTTCGTGGAGCAGGTTTTACTGGTTCACTGCCGTCGTCGTCTTCTCTTTCGCTCTTTTCTCTGGATTCTCCTTCTCCACCTTTAGCCTTCTCTTTGGAGGTAATTTAATTAATTATTTTTTTCATTTTATTAGTTATTTGATATTTTTCTTCGTTTTTTATTTAGTTTGTTAATTAATTTATCAGTTGTTCAAAATTTATTATTATTTATTGTTAATACTGTTTAAATAATTAAAAAAAAAAACAGAGACGTTTCATCCTGTGTTGAGCTCCACGCGCCGAACTTCAACCGTAAACGCCGTCGTCTCCAACGAATTTCCGGTAGCCCCGGTGCTCTTGATTCGTGAAACCGTTTTGCTACCTGATCAAGTTATACTTTTCCTAAAATACCCTCCACCGGCTCGTTTATTTACCAAAGAGGAACTCGTTTGTGTTTACCTCTCGGCTCATAATAGCTCATCCGAGCCTCGAGTTAAGCAGCCGCCAGCTCGTGTTGATACCGAGCAGCTTGGAGAGCAGATCGTACGATGTCCCAGTTGTCCACGTGGAATGATTGTAACGGTTGGTTCAAAGTCAAATGGGGTCATCCCTGCTGGACCCACTCATCGGTGGGACTCACTTGCTTACGAGGCTTTGATTGATAATGATAATACTACAATCGTTTTTGTCAAGGGCCTTAATCTACGGCCAGGAAGAGTTTCCAATGCATCAAGATTTGACTGCATGTACGGCTGGGATTTTAAGAGGTCAAAGTTGTTGTTGAGATCAAAGGTTTTATCTATTGCTCAAGAGATCATTCGGTGCAAAACCCCTTTAAGTGTTTTGAACAGTCAAAAAAAGTCAATCTTTCTGTCAAAGTTTCAGTTAGGATCAAGGGCAGCGGAATCTTACCTTCCATAGCCCGATTGAGTTACTTGGTGGATCCGGGTCTTGACTCTGTACCCACCCGAAAGCCACATGAAATGTGCATTTGCACCATGGCACGTAACCAAGCAAGGTTTTTGAAGGAATGGGTCATGTACCATGCCCAAATTGGGGTACAACGTTGGTTCATATATGATAACAATAGCGACGATGACACAGATAGTGTTATCGAATCATTATTTGATGCTAATTATAATATTTCACGACACATTTGGCCTTGGATTAAGACTCAAGAAGCAGGATTTGCTCATTGTGCCCTGAGAGCTAGGGATTCTTGTGATTGGGTTGGATTTATTGATGTAGATGAGTTTTTTCACTCCCCATCAGGATTAATGTTACAAGATGTGCTTAGAAACCTAAGCTCAATCACAACTGATGAATTTGAGAACTTTCTTATTGGTGAAATGCGAGTTTCTTGTTACAGTTTTGGACCGTCGGGGCTCAAACACGTGCCCCAACAAGGCGTGATGGTTGGGTACACATGTAGGATGATGGCGCCGGAGAGGCACAAGAGTATAGTTAGGCCAGAGGCATTGAATTCTTCATTAGTCAACGTGGTGCATCATTTTCATTTGAGGGATGGTTTTAGATTTGTAGATGTTGATAAAACAATGATGGTCTTGAATCACTACAAGTTCCAAGTTTGGGAGGTGTTCAAAGAGAAGTTCTATAGGAGAGTGGCTACCTATGTGGCTGATTGGCAAGATGAGCAAAATGTAGGGTCCAAAGATCGAGCACCTGGGCTGGGGACAAGAGCGGTTGAACCTGTTGATTGGTCAAGTTGGTTCTGTGAGGTCATGGACACTGGGCTAAGAGATAGGGTGTTGCAAAACTTTGCCAACCCCATAACTTTCCTTCTCCCATGGCAGAATCCAGATGATGTGAAAGCAGAGTTTGTTTAGTAGAAGAAAAGAAGTGTAGAAAGAGCAAAAGAAGGCATAGAGTACTGTAATGACTTTTTTTTGTTTTATTTCCTTACACATTAATGTAGAAATTGGGTCAATTTTTTTTTTGTAAATAACAAATTCCTGTTAATAGGGTTTGACACAAGTGATTAAGATTTAAAGTTTTAATTTAAAGCATTCATGTTTTAATTTTTATGGTCTCGTATTCATAAATAATTTGTAAATCAAAAAATCTTTAAAAATATGAAAATAGAATCCGTAAATTTTCATAAAGAGGTCGTGTTTTTATAGGCCCACGATTATACTTCCTTTAAAAATGGCAGAATCCGATGTGGCCCGGAATTATAGCCGTTGCAAAAGAGGACAGCTCAAACGAAATTCAAAAAAATTGACCGTTGGGAATATAATCGCCAGTTTTTTTCCCTATAAGCCCTCCAAGGAAAGGAAGCGTTTTTTTGTTTTTTGCTTTTCCTTCCGACTAATCCCGGAAAGAAAACCCAAGAAAAAATGGTGAGAGAAAAGCCAAAACAAACCACCCCGCAAGATTCAAAGCAATCGAACCCAATTGAAAATAGCCAAAATGTTGATAACTTGTTTAGTCCTAGGTTCAAATCCGCGGCTGCCATGGCTGGTTGGGACGAAGAAGCCCTGATCATTGCTAGTATCGTCGTGGAAGACACCCCTGATCGACAATCTAAACACAAGAAACGCTCTGATTTGATTTTCAAGACTCCACCATCCACCACTTCAAGAAGGTAACTAATGATAATCCCAAAATTCATAGTCCATTTATTTGCCTTTTCTTTTATTTCTTCATGGTTTTGTTCTTCAGGAAACGTAGGGCTCAGAGAAGGAGTCCACTTTCAACTCCTATTGCTCCATTAAACCTTGATGAAGAGGAGACTTCAAAACAAGGTAAGTAGTTTTCTGTTTGCTTCTTGGAATTCTTTTGTTTCTTGAGAAGTGAATGGAGGAAAGAAAATTGATTTTTGTTGAATAATAATGTTGCCTAGAGAGTAAGAAAGAGTCAATGGAACAAAGAATTGATATGAAGGAGGAGAAGAAAACAGAAGTAAATGAACCATCTGAACAGGTCCCTGGTGCTTCTTGCTCCAGTCCAGTTCTTCGTTGTATGGATAAACTTAGAGAAGAGCTTTCCTGTGCAGTAAGGATCTATATTGTTAGCTTTCATAGATTGAAGCTATTGGATTAATTTTCCTTTATCTTCTAATAATGTGGTATTATTTTCTTGGCAGATTTGTTTGGATATCTGCTTTGAACCAAGTACCACTCCTTGTGGCCACAGGTAGAGAACTGAAAATTTTTGTCATCTTGAGTAGTTTTTTAATTGATTTTGTCATTTTAGTGAAACCCCTTTTTTCTCTTTGATTGTAGTTTCTGTAAGAAATGTTTGAGATCAGCTGCAGATAAATGTGGGAAGAGATGCCCAAAGTGCCGGCAGCTAATAAGGTAAAACCAGCCCCTGCTAACTGATTGATTAGCATCATTTTACTGAACTTTTGCACTCATATAGTTCCTGTTTGAATATGCATTATGCAGCAATGGAAGATCTTGCACTGTCAACACGGTTCTTTGGAATACAATACAGCTTTTGTTTCCCAAAGAGGTTGAAGCAAGGAAGGCTGCTGCAGCCTTAAACAACCGGCAAGTTGAGTGTCAAAGTCCCAGGAGGAGTCGAAGTATTAGACCTCCAATTGTCTATACCAGAGACGCAAGTGTGAGGAGAAGAGGAGTGGTAGTGATGAGCCAAGATGAGGATGCAGCATTGGCTTTAAGGCCGCAGAGAGAGGATTTTTCACGGTCGGATACAACTACAAGCATGAGTAGAAGAAGAAGGGGGACACCAAGCCAAGATGAGGATGCTGCATTAGCTTTTAGGTTGCAACGAGAAGAATTCATGGAGTCTTTTAGGGGGACTCATCAGCAAACAAGAACCTCACTTTCTTCAGCTAGAGCAAATTTGAGAGCAATGGCATCCCGAGCCGTTAACATTCGAATGAGAGGCCGGCCTATATAAGCATAGCCCTTCAATTCAAGCTTCATGTTCTTACCAATATTTGATTATATATGTTACTTCCAATGTAATGTAAATTGGGCAACAAAAAATACTAATCATTTGAAGTGTACCTTTCTACTTCTTTCCTGATCTTAAGATTTCATCACGTTGCATACTAGTTTTTTCTGTCAAACTGTGTTCCTGATTCAATGTTATTGTTTTCAGCTACTCTTAACCGAAAATTTGGTCTATTGGCAATTCTTACAAAGTAATATTAAACTCAGCTGATTCGTTCGACTACCTTAAGAGATAACATCAATAGGTCTGCAATACCAACCATTGTAACCCTTTTCTTTATCGTTACATTGCAACTTCTTTTACCGTTGTTGTTAGTATTACTTTGCTTTGTTGTTGTAGATAGGCAAGAACGCGTAAGTGAGCTATGTGGTTTACCAATGGCTTCAAAGTGGTGTACTGCAGTTCACAAATTTTTGTCCTTTGTATAGATTTGGTTCTTGGTAGCTGAATCCGATATCAAGGAGGTCTAAACGAAGCGAAAGGGCCCTTTTTTACGTGGCTGTGCCTGCCATTGTCGATTATTAACCGACACTTAACATGTGAAATATTGTCTATTTTAATCTGAAAATTACAAAAAAAAAAAAATCTTACGGATTTTACGTTTAAGCTTTTATATATATATATATATATATATATATATATATATATATATTAGTAAATTTTCAAAATATTCCGCACACAAATCTAATAAATCACATCAAATGTTAGATAAGTGTAACACATAGCACTTAACTTTTGTAAGATTTTAGAGGTGATTATTATGATATCATTTATGGAGACTCACATCCAACTTATAAGATATTATTTACTTTGATTCGAATGTCTCATAATTTTATCTCACAAAATAGATTTTTTAACTTTGATTTTAGATATCTACATAAATATCATAACAAAACTTTAAAATATCTCGATATGAGATTTTGGTGTCACAAACTCATTCTGTTAAACCTTAACGTTCCTATCAAACCCAACACAAAGCAAATCAAACGTTGGATAAACCCAACATAAAGCACATACAAATGATCACACAAAACATTGAGATTTTAGAAGTGATTAACACTTAATTTTCGTCTGATTGATAATCGTTTTGATATAATTTATGGAGATCCACATCTAACTTAAAAAATATTATTCGTTTTGATCTAAAAATTTTATAATTTTTTCTCACAAAAAACAATTCACAGATTTAAGTTTAAACCTTTGTATTTATATATATATATATATGTACATATATATTATATATATCATAATAAATGTTCAAAACATCCCGATATAAGCATAATCCTGATTCAAAAGCATTTTGTTTTGAGGCGATTCTTTGCTTTTCAATTGGAATGAACGGGGTTGCTTGTTTTCTTTTAGCATTTCATTTGAAAGCCAGTAATGATGTTCGGTTTGAAGCTTTGAATTGGACTTTAACTAATAATGTTTTGGAGATTAAGTTAGTGATTTAAGCCATCTTTTTAGTGGATTTAATTTAATTATTTATGGAATATGAAAGCGAGATAATTATTGCATAATTATTTAACTGTAGTCGGACGACATTATTAAATTTTTTGTTCTTTACTAGGTTGGTTAAAATGTTGGAATTATTTTCTGGTCAAGAGTACTAGAAATTCAGGTGCTTTCAAATGGTGGAAAAACACTATAAAACAGTGGTTAAAGTAGACAGAAAATTTTATTAAGGCGTTTCCATCAAAGCTTGAACAGAAGCAAGTGTCCCTTACTTGATTGTGCCATTCAGCTCAAGTTGATATTCAGACTACTATTTTCAACATGCTTGGAATTGTAAGAATGCCATTGCCAAGGCTTTCCTGCAATGAGAAAAACTTGCAACTTTACCCCACCAGCTTTTGCAATCATGCACGGCAAACGCCTGGTTGATAGGATGGTTCATCCACCTGAGCTCTGAGGAGGCTTCACTTTGGGCTTTCATTTCATTCTCCACAGTTAACTCGTTCTGGAGGAGCATTCAGAATTACGTAAAATGCATGAAATTTTGTATGAAACCCACATTTATAAGTAACAGATTCTTACGTGATTTAAGAGTGAAATGCTCTTTTTTAACTCTCTCTCCCTCAAATATGCTTCCAACTGTGGGGCATATTAACCAGAGGATGCTTGCTTGAAGATGTAAACACTAAGAAACAGATAAAAAAAAACCAATCCATTTCTTGTGAAACATTTTCAGTTTTGTAAATGCACCTTCAGCTTCACCATCATTCCTGATTCTATCAGGGGCCCTGACAGAATTGTGGATTGAGGCAAAGCTTTGTAAATGAAATGATGCAACAATGCCCGAGGAATTCCATTGACAAGCAACAGGAATTTATACTGGAAATGGGGAGCCCTCGACTCCTTTTCTTGGTAGAAACTGACAGATATTGAAATAAATTATTGTCTTGTCAACAATGAGAGACATTGGGCAAAACAAAAACAACTAAGCATCGGAATGCACAAAAAGATTCTGCCAATGAGGATAAGCAGAAATTTGGAGTTTAACTTCTTGTCTGCCTACCAAAATATTCCCAGCATCGATATAGTCAAAATGTCCTTATCCTGAATGAATCAGCCGATTTTACAAAAATAGCTCACAGGCTAATTTGGAGATTAGATTATATTATCTTCTCTTCTCTTGAAACAATTTGTGAAGCCAAGATTCAAAAATGTTTTGATCTCTCCAATTTTTCCCATCTTCCAATCAGACAAAAGTTAAATAACAAAGAGCCACAAGTTTGATGGTTGCTGGGGAAGTTGTCAAGCATTACTCGGTGTTTAACTCAGTTTATTCGTATAATTATCTTTTAAAAAGTGACATTCAACAAGTTTAAAATACAAATCTTAACATCTGTAACCCTTTCTATTTTCAAACTGTGACTTCAGTTGTATTAAAAAAAGTAAATTTTAATTCACAGGAAAAAATATGTTACTGACAACATCCCATTCTGGTGTGCAGCACTCAAAAATAACCTCAACTCACAGCTCACTAATCTACTATCAGAAAAGTTACTATATCTTACAAAAAGAACAGAACAGGACATGGGATAAACTTGGAAACTGAGGTACAAGCCTGGTGATGGATTAGCAAGAAGAACAAATGCAATAAATTATCCCAATCCTGTGGATGGTAACCTTGCATCATTCTCTTTTTCAACTGAATAAACAGAAAATGATGCTGGTGGATGATGCTCTGCTGCAAATCTTTTTCCACATTTGAAACCTCCCACTTAATAAGAGAACTCATGACCTCGAAATGAGATGTACTTCTTAACCCAGATGGCAATGTCCTCAGCACAGGCCTGAGCCTGAGGGGTCTTTAGAAGCATGTCAAGGGTTGCAAATTCATGAACTGCATCCTTATACTCAAGAACAGGTGCATCAACATTTACCTTCCGAAGTGCCTCTGAGTAAGCAATCGCCCGGTCTCTCATCCAGTCATGTTCTGCTACAACTGTCAGTGTTGGGGGCATGAGCTTCAGAGGTGGGCCCCTGTCCGGAATGAGTGGATTGGCAGCTGGGTGGTCCAGGCTGAACTCTTCCTCGGGTAGAAACAGTTTCCATGCAAGTAGGCACATTGCCTTGTCATAGAAGTAGGAGTTTGCCAACTTTATTTCGGACTGCGTGGGAACATTTCCAATGAAGAATGGGTACATTAGGACCTGTGCTACAACCTTGACAGGATCCAGAAGCCTGCCTGCCTCAACAGCTTTGCGAGCCACATAATCTGCAATGTTTGCTCCACAGCTCACCCCAAGTAGAACACATCTGCTTAAACAATATCACAATTATAGATTAGGAAAAATAGCAATGCAAAATTTTTACACAAGATAGAAGTGAAGGATCTATATATTAGAAAAAGTACTAAGAACCAGCAATTTTACAGCTTAACTATTAAACATGATTTGCCAACATTTTATCTCATCCAAATGTCTGGCAGGATATCAAACTTGGGCTCCTTCAGATCTATTCTTCCCCAACCTCAATTCTACCTCGCTCAAAGTGTGATTTCCAGGTTGACTCAATATTCTTGACACGCTTCTGTTCGACATGACAACCGTATACTCAACTAATACCAGAGATTATAATCCAGAAGTTTGTTGATCACGCTTGAGGTACAAAAAAGAACACGATACAATCAATTGTCAACAAGTTATTAAGCGCTAACTTAAACTCTTGCCACATAGTCTCTCAAAGGCCTTTGATCATAAAATGTGAAATGTAAGACACTACATGATACAATGTAAATTAGAAAACCTTGGGCATAAGTTGCTTAACAAGAATTAAAAATTATGTTCAAGCAAGCAGAGATATGAATCTGCTCACAATCCGAGAAGCCTCAAATGCATGAACGGTATGAGAGGATAAAAAACATTAAAGCCTTGTAAGCATCATAACTACTACTGATAAAGGTCCATAAGATAAGCAATTCAGCAATCAGTAACTAACCTAATGGAAGAAATAAATCCAGACAAAACCTAATAATAGATTCTTAAAGCATACATTCTCTTTCTGACACTTTGGTTAAACCACTAGCACTAGGGACATCCTTCAGACAAAATACAGCTAGAAAATAAGCTAACTTGCTGCAAGGGAACATCAAACCAAATTTTTTTTACCCTCAAATAGCATAGAAAATGATGCATGCATACTTTTTTACCATCTAAGATGTCAATAAGGGACCTCCATACCACAAACTTCAATCACTGCTAACAAAATAGGTACACATGCTAGAACCAAGGGAAAGCATGAAGAAAATGTATATCTCAAGGACATCTTAGGCAATCAAATTTGAAACCGAAATGAAACGAAGTGAAGAGAAGAGAAATGCTTGAGATATACATTTTTTATTTCAATGTTGAGAGCATGATGTGAAATATTTGGAAAACATGAAAGAAATTGAAATATTGAACTGTGTTGAATGATGAGGAGGTCGTGGTGCTCAAAACACAAAAGACTAAGCTGTAGAAACTTTCCAGGAAATTTCAGGCTCAGAGATTGACTAATATGGTTTCCAAAAATTCATCCTGTAGTAGAATACAGAATGACAACTTCCGAAGCCTCTACCACCAGAAAGAGCAATCAGATTTTGACAGACTTTGTATGTCAAAAACTTATTGCCCAATTATACAATTCAAATGAGAGCACAATCACAAGTTATCCAAACTATATTACTTTTAACAATCTAAACCTCATTCACAAGTATTCCTTCGACCTATATCTATCTAATCAAATCATACAAATTCAAGCTTACAAGTCACATTTCCCTAATCAAGATGCACTTCCTAATTCCCAACCATCTCAACCAAATAAAGTGCTTACCAAATCTACATCCAATCATTGTAACAAACACAAAACCAATTAAGATCAAAATTTTACCTACATTGCATCTACCACACTGAACGAATTTAAGCTTAACATTCGCTGATCAAATTGCATTTGCTAGCCCCTATCCTTAACAAAATCAAATACAACCAATGCACATCATATCTCCAGTCAAAAACATATCAATCACAAGAAATCTAACAAAAACAACAACAAACAAAATCAAAGATTGCAGCATCCCATTATGCCATGATCAAATTACACTTAACTCTCTCCAACATTTTCAACTAAATCAATTCAGTAGCGAAAATAAATACAAGCAAAACTTCATATAGGAATAGCAACCTTGATGGATCTCCATGAGCTGCCAACCACGGCTCAACCATAGAAGCCCCGAAAGCATCCACAATATGTCTCTGAACTTCAGCCTTGGTAAACTCTGCTCCAACCCCACGCGCCCCACTCCCCATCGACTTACTACACTCAGCTAAATTCGCTTGCTTTCCTAACCAATTCAACACCTTCAATCCATCCTCAAACGCCGCCGGATACTTATTCTCCGGAGCCAACCTATAACCAACCGCCACGACTACAACATCACACAATCTCGATATTCTCCGACAAAAAAAATCGTTAGCCACCGAGTCATTGCTGCCACTCACCCAACCGCCGCCGTGAAACTGTAATATTATCGGCAATTTTCGACAATTTTGAACTAATGGTGAATAACCTTGATAAACACTATTGTTGGATCTTAAATTTAACCCTTCAAAACTGCTTCTTCTCGGATCATCTCTCGGGGCTCCAATATCAGGCGCGCCATAACTATTCCTCCGGCGATTAAGGGAATTGGGGTCGTCTTGCTGGAACGATCTGGGCTTGGATTTCGGCTCGGGTTGTTCGGGAGGAGAAAGGGACGATTCGGGGAGGAAGATCCGAATAGAAAGGGCAGTGAATGGGTCGATGTGGATATCTTTGGTGGCGACACCGTCGGTGAAAGAAGGGTTGGAGGCGGAAACGGATTCTTCGGGTCGGGTTGTGACACCGTATGGATTGGAGGATTCGTCGAGAGGGGTTTGGATCCGGTTCTGCAAACGGTGCTTCAAGAGGAACTTGAAGAATACACTGTATAATTTTACAGCTACGCTTGGCATTTCCCTTAAAAAATTTTCTCTTTTACAAAAGAAAAAAAAAATCTCTTTTATGTTTTTGTGTTGAACAAAGAATTCTGGGTTTTGATTTTTCTGGGATATTCTTGATGGATTTGCAGAAACCAAAAATAAAGATGAAGCTTTTTTCTCTCTTCTTGCTTCAAAGTCTGATTTTTTTTTTTTTTAAGATTGTTGTAAAATCATGGTTTTGGAGAGGAAAAGTTTGAAACTTGACATGGTTAATTATAATTGAAGATTCACGTGGAAATTGGGTGATTAGGTTTTTAAAATCTGGGGGACTTTGGTTTCAAATCTGATGTTTTTTTCAATGCAAATCAGATAGAAGTAAAGATAAAGCAAGAAACATACGGAAAGGGGTTGATGGGGTTACATGACATGCAAGCAGCAATTTTATTAAGCCGTCTGTGTTTTTCTTGATTGGTTTCTATACTCTATGATGATTTCAGTGAAACCATCTGCAACATGAGTAATAGTTGTCCCTTTTTGACATGATTGTCCTAAGAAGTGGGAGGTACAAGAATTGGAAGCATGAAAATGTATGGAATTTGGGTGTGGTAAATAATTGAAGTTCTTCGTTGTGTTAAAAATGACTAGGGAAATAAAAACATAACTAATTAAACAATGGTTCCTCCCTCATTAGTAATTTTCCTCATTATTTATGATTGAAGCTTTGTGGATCTTAATGAATATATTAATGACACAAATATTTACATTTACATTTAATTTTTTTAGTCAAATAAGACAATCAATGATTAGTTTAAATTAAAAATGATAATAGTTTGAATCATATTTAATTTAATTTTTTGGATAAAATATAATATTATAAAATTTTAAAATATCTAAATTCAAATCAATTTTTTTTAAATTGATCTAAATCGAATTTTATTAATTTAATTTATCATTATTTTTAATTTAATTTTTAATTTCTTATATATTATTTTAATATAATTTATAAATTTAGATATAATTATGTTTATTTTATAAAAATTTACAATATGTATAAATATTAATAAAATTATATAATTCGATTCGATTTTTTATTTTTCAATTCAAAATCTGATTAAGTTTTAATATATATATTTAATAACTAAATTTAATTTAAATTGAATAAAAAATTTAATTCAAATTGATCTAAGCATTACAATTCAAATCGATTTTCGATTTTCTCGATAATTTTTCTAAACCCTAATTCAAATTTGGTGTTATTAAAGCCCATTGAAAAATAGAAAATGCTTTGAATCAACACATGATACAATGCAGCCATCGAAGTGCTTTTCAAGGTTAAACAGGGCTGTTGTTAAATGCAAAAAACCATAAGTAACTCAACATTATAATAAGAACACTGATCCAAAAAGATGTGGAATTCATGCTTTCTTGTCACCATTAAAGGATTATCAATGGAAAAGATGTCACCATTAATGCTTTACAAGCCAAACTCGTTTGTTTTTTTTTTGTCCCCAATCCATTATATACATTCTAAGCATATATATGAGCAAAAGGGGCTTGGATTTACCCCACATAGCAGCAATCTTGATCAACCCTGCGACATTAAAATCAAGCAAACCATCCATTCAGAATGTGAACAGTTGATACAATGATAAACTCAGCTTTATCATCATCTTTATCTCACCATGTCCACCAACCTATGGTTTGCAAACCGATCTCGGAATAGAACATCGGCAACTACAATGGCAATCTCTTGTCCTAGCCAGATGGCTTGCGAATAGTTATTTTTGGGGAGACGAGGACTGGTTCATTGCTTGCAGCTTTCATTGCAGCAATCTCTTCTAATCGTTTCCATGTGGCCTCACGTTTTGATTTAACCTCACTTTCTTGTGCTTCGTCTTCCTGAAACTTATGCAAGCACTCCTCAAACAGCTCGGAGTCAGTGTCAGAGAAAAGCTTGCGGACATTTAGAGTCAAGCTCTGCACTGCCTGATTCCAGTGGTTTCTTGCATTCCTTTCCAAGGAAGGGAAGATAATTGGAAGTATAACTTTCCGATTCTGTTTTATTAGGTTCTCGATATGATCATTGTTCCATATGAACAAAGCCCTCTCTGCCACCTACCAACAAATTATTGAAGTTTTAAAAGAGACATAAAGAGAACGATAGCAAGAAAAGTAGCACATCATCTTTGTACATTGTAAATGCTAGTTCTTCAAATAAATGTATGCATATACAATACTAGCATAACTGATTAGATGCAGTTTCACATCGTAACTACAACTATTATTAAAAAGTTCAAATCTAGCAATGATATCTGGACATCTTTAGACAGTAAAGCCAAACACCATGGCGATATTCACCCAATAGCGATAAACAACTAAAGTGGAAATCTGTCCTCATGTCAGCACAAGTGTATCAAACCAACAAAATAAAAGAGGATATCAGTCAAATTTACAGGTTTTCATGAGTACACACTAACACACTACAATCAAATTTCCTAAACAAATATAAATCTTGTACCCTAGATACCAGCAGATATCGTGATGCAGAGATTTTCTAATAGTGAACACCTCTTCATCACAAACCTATGACAAGAGAGTTAATTACTTCAAACACAAACCATTATATCAACCTGGATTTTCAGTTACTTGTTTCATAGAGTTCATTCACAATGAGGTCCTAAATAGAGCATGATCGCACAATATGATCCATTTAGGCAACCATATCTAGCGGAAAAATGCATAGTTTGTTTTTTTTGTTGTTGTAGTAGTCATCCAGCAGTTTGTAAACATTGACAGAATACAGCTTTCTCATAACATGTTGGGTCGTGGAACAATTACTTTAATAGTAAGAAGAATTGGGGACTTGTGTTTTTCTTCATGTCCAACACGTCCAAATTCCTTTAATTAAATGTTAGTATGAGCATCAAAGTTTTCAAGTTATTTGTTCAACCCAAGCACACATTTTTCTCTCTCTCCTCTCTTCAAGAGATGAAAAAGCAGAAGAAGCTTAGGCAGTGCACATCAATAAAGTTCCAACCTGAATTTTGGAGATAAAGCATAAACTTTTTTGAGGCAGAGTCCAGATAGACAAAACACGAGTTGAAAGTCGAGATATAATCCATGAGATGAAGGATGTAATTTACAAGGGTAAAAGCAGTAAAAGATTACACTTTGTCACAACGCATCAGTTTCTTTTAGACCTATCTCTGTAAACCTATTTCTTTTAGACCTATATCACGAGTTCACAACTGCCTTTCTTGGATCTAATACTGCAATATTTGGTCTCAATCATATGTGTTCACATAACCACCTTAAGCCCACCTCAGGTTACTCTTTTAAATGATAATACAAGATTTTATCATGCTAACAGGAGAAGGGATAATCAGAAGGAACAGGGCAAGAAAGAAAGAAAAAATCATGTCAACCAGTTGCTACTGCTTTTAATGAAACCACTTCATCTAAACCATTAAACCTTTCTCTCTTTGATTAAATTTGATTTACTTATCTAGTTATATTCTCTTAAGGAACTTTCATAAAGAGAAGAAAAGAAAGGAAAGTTGCAAGTAGTGACCTGACGAAATTCCTACCTGAAAATGGGAACTACTCAAGCAACGGCCTATCTGACGGAATAAGGGTACCATGCAGCGTTGAAACTCAGCAGGTTGTGTGGCTTCTAAAACTTCCTCCAGTTCACCCAAGAACATAACTTCTTTTGAGCTATTTGTAATTGGCCAATACTTTAATAAACCCCGTATAACAGTATCAGCAAGCTTGCAGTCTTTCTCCACAAATTGAGTAATGCAGTAAGATAACTGCTGGTGGTACATGGATATGCATTTTGGTTTGTGAAGTGGTATCAATGCACGAACAAGAAAGAGCTTATGTTCTTCCTTCAGTGGCAAAGCAAACCCATTGATTATACTTCCCAGTATTTCTAGTAGCTCTGCAATTCCATTGTGTTTTTCAGTTTCAAAAATAAAGCGGTAAAAGATATTGTTGATTGCTTTCCTGATGAATGGACGATGGACCATAAACTTTCCATAGATGCGATGCAGAACAGTTTTCAGATACTCCCTTTCTCTGGGGTCCTCTGAATCAAAAAGATCTAACAACCTCAGAACAAAAGAGTGATCAATATACCGCTTGGCCAATTTTGCATCTGTCTCAGATGATGCCACAAACCTCAAGAGTAATTCATAAACAATTTGCAAATGAGTCCATGCAGGGTCCATTGAGGGCTCCTCCTCTTCCAAATCAAATGCTTCTAAAACTTTCTTCTCACGTGGCGGAGAGGTAAGTGCTCTAAACAAATTTACAGAAACCATCTTTCCAATTTCCTGCATAACAATCTCTGGAAATTTCCCACTAGCAGATGAAACATAATCCACAAGCTCTAGCAAAGTTTGCCGCTTGAGGTCCTTCTCCTTGAGGTTTTTTGATGGGTCACTGAAGTCAAACACAATGCAACACAAGTTCAGTTTTCTGATAAACAAGTTCTGCTTCTCAGAATTTGGAACATCTTTAAAACTAGGCAATGCCTCAAAAGAAGTAGCAACCATATTCCCGTTCAGCTTTGCATTCACCACTTGAGAAATCTTATTGCCTTGATTCAGCCCAGAATTCGGAGTCGAACTGAAGCCAGAAAAGGATGAACTGCTTGAGTTTGCATAGCGGTTACTAGATAAATCACTGTTTCTTGAACTGGTAGAAGCATTCGCTGAAGAGGTAGAAGTTCCTCCTCCCTCACGATTGTCATTTGACTTAGATGGTTTCCGTGGGAGTCTATTAAGTATTTGTTTGATCATCGTAACTTAAACAGGAATCTCTTCTCATGCACTTCACAATTGGTTATGAAAAGAAAACCCTTCAAAGCAAATGCACCATCAAATGCAAAGAAAGGAAAACCTGGGTGCCAAAAACTGTCAACTCATAAACTGAAAGCCAGTGATGAGTCAATCCACCAATAAATATGCAACTCCATCCTCACTAAGATGAGTTATAACTCAATTCCAACAAAGAAAATTCCTCGTTTGCTTGAACAGCAACATCGACTCACTTCATATGTTGAAATAATCTAAAACACAAAAAAAAAGGGCCCAAATCAACTATAACAAAATTCCCAATTAGTAATAACTAATCTCAATAAAGTTCATCTTCTTTTCCCCGCTTTGGTGGCAAAGCATGCATCATTTTGACTTATACATATATACATACATATATATATATATATCAAATTAAAAAATATATATATGCCTAAACCAATAAACAAAAATACCCAATTGTTATAAAAATCTAAACCATAAAATTCAGTTCAAAAAGCTTTAATTTTCTTCCTAAATTACTTTAAAAATAAAGGGATAAAGAATATTCACCTGTGTCTCCTGGACTCTAGTTTTCATCAGCTTCCAAAGATTAACAAAAGCATTCAGCTAGATCAAAAGGTAACAAGATCTGGGTTTGATCTTAAAAACCCAACCAGCATTTTCCACCAAAAGCAACCTACAAAATTATCCAAAAGAACATAAGCCAAAAAAAAAAACAAACAAACAAACAAAACTTTAACTAATTCGTCAATGTTTTGTTTTTTTAAGGTAAATAATTGTTCTAATTGATCCCACTTCTGTTTTCTTTTTCTTCGTAAAGATTTGATCTTTACTAACCTTTCTTAGCAAAATTTCATTTCAACCTCAAAGCTCACACTTTTCACTTTTGATTTTCTCCGGATGAAGATGGAATCCAATTCACTAAATCACCCCTCACAGTTTTTCAAAAACCTACCTTTTTTCCCTTTCGGAGAGATTGAGGAGAAGGTTAAAAATGAAAAATAGATAGCAGTTTTATGGAGGTGTTGTGTCTCACGCTCCACTTGACTGCGAATGGGAATTTTGAAGACTTGACAGATCGATGTTGTAGCCTGTTTGTCATCCAAAGCTTCATAGATTACATTTCAAACATCTTTGATTTGGCACAGTTGTCCATTGTGGTCGGCAAACGATCCCACGTGCTTCTTGTCAAGTGTATCACAAACGTTATTTAAAAAAGGAAAATTTTCCTTGAATTTAAAGCTTGAAATATAATAATGCTTACCACCAAAAATATTTTTAAACCAATACATTCTTTTAATATATATAAAAGTTTGCAAAGATATTAGTTAATTAAATAAGTAAATATTTTGATAATTAAATTAAATATTACTCCTTCGTCTTAAATTATTTGAACGGGGTTGACTTTCATTAAAAAAAAATTTATAAATTAAAGATTCATGACTTTTAATATTAAAAAAATAAAATAATTTAAAATATAAAAAAATAAAAGTTTTGGATATTTAAAAATATACATAATTTTAAGACATTTAAAAAAAAGATAAAAATAAAATAAAAAGAGTATTTGAAATAAAGTCTGGCTTTTATTTTGTAAAAACACTTTTATCTTGTAATTTAATTATTAAATAAAAAGGAGAAAAATATTATAATATTTTATTCTTGTTGCTATATTTATATGTTTGGATTTTTAGTAAATATATTTATGAATTTTGATATTTTTATGGTATTAACATTGGCATACTTTCGATATATTTATATTTTGAAAATATTTTATAGAATATTACTATAAATGGAACTTGCTTATTTGCTTCGTCGGTAAAACCAACTAAATTTCTGTTGCCAACTGACCCCAGTGATTAAAGACATTTTAGGTGAAGTGAGAATGAATTAATCATGGTGATGGCTTCCTTGCAACTTAATTATGAGTTCATAATTCTTTTTTTTTTCTGACAAGATTTATTGACAAAATATTCATAAAACTTGTCAAATTGATTTTCTACTTCATTTTGATAGGTCAAAGGAGAGTACAAAAGAAGCATAAAACACACCTGCGTGGGTTAATACCGTTGAAAATGGAAAAAAAAAGTTTATTTCTTCATTAAGCAAGTTTCAATCCTTGCTAAAAATGCAAAAACTTGACCATTCATATATTTATATCATATAAAATATTAATATTTATGTATTTATATCATATATTTAACAAAAATTATATATTATACATTTCGACACAAAAATATAAATCATATTTTTTTATTTTATAAAATTTATACATAATTATTATTAAAACTTTAAATCAAATTACTTTCGTATTTTTTTTTCATATCATATTTGTATTATATTATTATATTATATTTTAAATTGCTACTCCCTTATGAAGAGATTAATATAGACAAAATTTAAACACATCCGCATTCAAAAATAAATATAATTGATGAATTCAAAATTTACATCAATTGATTCATATAATTATTTTTAAAAATTAATATTCAATAATTTTAAAATTTAACAATTATAAATCTTCTTTGTTTTCAAGATGCAACTTATTTTATTAAAATATATATAATTACATTGATGAAATAATTTTTTGCTACTTTTCTTGCTTTCTTTTTTATTTTTTTTTCCATTTTAATTTTACTTCGGAAATAATTCACCTGTTAAATCCAATGAATAAGAAGCTGGTAAAGGATCAAAATCCAAATCACTCATCACGCGTTGAACTTGATGACCTAGAATGAAAGTCCACATCTTCAAGCACAGAAGAAAAGAAATGGTCAATATATCATATCTGAAACGCAAAGAAAGATCAATGCTAAAGCCATAAACACAATCCTTACCAATTCAAATAAATCTCTTTTGAAAGCGATGAACGTCATCTACAACTTTGTGCTTGAATGAAAGTGTCCACAAATATTAGAGAACAAGATCTATTGAATTACGCATTAAAAACGATATGAGGAAAAAGAATACCTTAGAACATCTTGTTCCATCTTCATATTGAATCAAAACAATCAAGGAAGTTCAAAGAGGGATCTTAGCAAAGTACCCGTCAGCACCGAAGAACTCCTCAACATTTGTTATACAGAGTATGAACAATGATCAAATTTAAAGTACGACAGTAAAATAATTTCAGTAGTTTTCTTACACTTGTGTTAGATACAAAATATCAAGAAGTCTTCGAGATTTCAGTCAGGGCAGCTGCCACCATTTCCTGTCTCTGGAAGTACATACAAGCATCGTGTCATTCAACGATCAATGGGAGAGTGCTGCACATCCCCACCAAGGAACAAAAACAAAACCAGCCGAACAGAATCATCCAAACTCCAGTCTCAATGCTCCATCAAGGCAGCTTCTGTTTCTGAAAGTGGAGCTGCACAAACAAACCTCCAAATCAGAAATGATTCACAACAAGAACGTAGAAAACAAAAAAGAATAGAACTCTACTCAAAAGTCAAAATCATAGTAGAATTTCCATTTGCAGCACTGGAATATTGTATTGATTTGGTAGATGTGATAATTAGTGAATAAACAAAACCAAAACATTATGTTAAAGAATCCTATTATATACTTATAGCACAGTGTCTACATGGATGCCTTATACTAGTAGAAGTTTGCAAGTAAACCAACATACCGAGTAAATCCTCATAAGCATCAGCTAACAGGGATGTGTCCATTAGCAAAGGAGGGGAGAAGACCTGATCCTGAACTTCTTCCATGTCAAAAAATGACCTTTGGCCATCAGAACCTGCACAACTTGAAGCAGCAGCTGAGAGAAATCCATTGACTTGATCATACTCGGTAAGGGAGTCCAGATTGTTCAACATGTGTGGTAAATCATCATAGTTACTCCCTAGAGGACCATCACTGGCATGGCCATCGAGCAAGGAATTGTCTGTTTGAGTTGAAAATAATCTCTTACTCCTTATCAAGCCCACTTTATTTTCGGGTGCCCCACGAGAAAAATTAGTTGATGAAACAGGTAAAAAGAAGTGTTCAGAACTTTCATCAGATTGACTGTCCCTTGATGACTCTGAATTGCAGGATGGCATTGACAGTGCAGCTTGCCTAACAGATCTCTTTAAGTTCTGAACATAAGAATTGTCACTAGCTGCAGCATGAAATCAAGAATCAAATCTTACACTAAAGGAGTTAAATCACCAATTCACTTTCAACTGATAAAAGGAAATGCATTAAACTTAACCAGCCGCTAGTTACACGTAGGGAGACAAGTGAAGCATGAAAAGCAGTAAACCTTGGGGAGGGTTATCTAGGCAATTGTTTGCTAGAGGTTGGTCCGCCAAGCTCCTTTCAGAAAAAGATTCAATTTGGTTGGGCTGAGGAGCTAAAGCATGTCGCTTTTGCATGTTTCCACCTTTTCCAGATGAATTTGGGGTTAAACTAAATAACTGTGGGAGCTTTAATGCTGGAGGAGTAGCTGAAATCTTGTCAAGCTGAACAGTAGACAATTTTGAAGTAATATCACCAACATCAACAGAGCCACTTTCCTGCATAATCCAGAAAAAATATCTTAAAAATAAATCATAAGTTCCACAAACACAAATATTAAAAGTTTCAAAATAGTGTCAACATTTGCATGACATGGAACACTGATTGAACATTTACCGAGGTCATTCCACTGCTCTGAGCTTGAATAGGTGAGGTGGCTTGACCATGATGTTTGGCCATAGAAGGTAAGTTGGAGGAAATGCTATTTACTTTCTCTGTACACTCTGATATTGACTTCTGGGTTGCTGGAGCAACTTCCTTTAGTTGGTTAACAAGCACCTGCACTTGAAATTATTAGAATTTAAAATAGAAAATTGTATAACATGTCCTCTAGAAAGTAAGAATAGATCAGGAGTTGACAAAGGGGTGCCTAAAAGACCTAAGAGTTAACTTAGAAACCATAAAAGCAATTTATGGTTTAGGAGAGATATATGTGCAAGTGTACCCGTAAACTCTCAAGTATGCATGTACAAAGCAAAGCACAAAAGATGAAAACAAACTATGTTCCCATTCAGTCAGTTCTCACATCGCCAAACAATTTAAACAAAAACATTCATGAACTAAATAAGTTGCCAGATTTTTAAGGTCCTAGATCATCATGATTTGACCATCCTTTAGCGGCTGTCAAGAGAATTTCCCATTTCTGGGCTGTCAAAAGGTGGATCTTCATCTCTGTGCTCACGAAATTCTTTACAAATACCAAGCAAACAGTAAATTAAGGAATCAGATCTTTCAACATCTAAGGTTTTTGCAGACTTCAACAACCTACTTACAGGTACTATCATGCTTCTAAGACCTTCAACCCAACAATTAATTCGGTGAAAACCTACTTTACAAAGATAAAATACGTAAGATATGTACAACTGCCCCAGATGTTAACCAAACTAGAAAACAGAAATTCCTTAAAATTATGCTCAAATTATGTTACTTAGAGTTTGTAAGTAACTACTTAATGTACAGTGTGGCTATCTCATTACCTGAAAGCTAGCCAGGTGTTGCTGATGCTCAGCAAGAGTTGCAGCTAATGACTCAGTGTGGCCACTTGTGCCACCATCATGTGCACTTCGTAAAATATCAGGACCCTCTCCATCATTAGCTTTTGACTGCAAAGCAATAGCAATTCATTATTGCATGCTATAACCTTAAATGCTGATAATTAGCAACATGCAATCCATAATTCCATGAAACCGTGAATCATAAATTTTGAATTTCCAAATTCCTTTTAAATACATTTTAGAAAAGCACAAACTAAAATTGCTCATTTCTGATATACCATAACCAATGTCTTCTTCACATCCCCCAAAGATCAAAAATTTTAAGTGAAGGCCTTTTCTTATATCTAATAAAGGTTTTGCCCATAGAAATAGATGAATGCCCAGCATAAATTTCATTGCCCCAACTTCCAACTTAATGTTGAAAAATATCTACATGGTCAATACCACAATTTTAAACAAATATCAGATTCATAATAATGTGCCATACAGACATTAAGCTATTGAGAAATTCAGTATTTCACTGATGAAGTACTAATACAAGCTAAGACAGCTGACTTGACAAAAACAAAATAAAAAAGCATACCAGCTGAAGTGAGTGTTTATGAATGCGTTGTAATGCATGCGTCCAACGTCTGATAATTTCTGCTACATCAACAGTCTGATGGACTCTTCCACTTCTATCATCTACCCGAGAAAGTGTCTCTTCATTGACTTGTGTGTGATATCCATTATTCTGCTCTTTGTCATCCAAATCACCAGACTGAACGGATAAGACATCTGAATAAGGAACTTGAGAACTCTGATCCATTGCTGCAAGCAAAGACGATCCAGAGATGCGGTACCTGGAAAATGATATAGACGAAATTGGGAGCTAGAGTGGCAAATGCATCATCCGAAATGACATGTGGTGGCAAATTACCTATGCTCCCTATGAGCTATCAAATCCTCAATCGGGCCTGAAGCAAGAACTTCGTGCTGACCTGGATGTATAGGTTGATAATATCGAGGTTACAAAAATCAAACAAATTAATGAAGATATAAACAAACATAGTTGATTCATTTGTACTTACTTTTACGAGATAATATAGACTCCCACAACCGAGTGGCCTTTGAAACCAAATGAGAATTCTGACTTGAAGTAGAGACAAGATTGTCCCATAGCTCCCCTTCCAACTTCACTTTGTTCCTCAAGTCATGTAGTTTCTCCAGCTCTTGCTGCAAATAAGCCTAAGATCCAGGTTTTCCAAGGAAAGACATTAGTTAAAGATATTTAAGTCAAAGCCATCCCTCACCAAAAAGGAAATGAGGCAAGGGGATTATATTTGATAATTTAACATAAATACTCAAAAGAGTTCAAATAAGTGATCAACTATTATATTCTTACCTCCTCAGCACAAAGGCCACGAAACTCTGCAGTCATTTCATGAGCCAAATTTGACCACATAGCCTGTCTCTGCACTGCTGTTTCTGCATTTTTAAGAAATCTTCTCCGTTCAAGTGCTATTCTAGCCTGTTTAAAAATAAGCATGTTACTTCATGGCCATGGAAGGTCAACCAAAAAAAGTATTTTGAAACTAATGCTGAAAGTATGCATGAAGAGAAATATGATATGAGAAACTAAATCATAGAACAGGCCCAACACAAGGAATCATAATTGTACTTAATATGAATAGCCTACGGGGCAGTATTACCTTTGTTACAGGAAGTAGTGTAGCAGCATGTGAAAATGCAACATCAGTCAATGGCGCAGGCAATGGGTTGGAAGCAACATCTGCTGCAAAAGTCCTTCTATGAACCTCTCTCAACGCATGCAATGAAAGTTGCCACAAAAGCTCAACAAATCTACAACCATACACATAAAAAAACAAATGTAATTACGAATTAACAAATTTCATCAGCCATGAAAACCTACCCCTAAATAAAACAATTCAAAATTTTTGAATCTTACAATGATATTCAGTGGCAAAATATAGTAAAACAGTAACTCGAATGAGCTTAAAACAAATAGAACTAAGTAAAATAGGCAAGCTAATCAAAACACTTTTCTATTTTGCTTAACTTTCTTGAATTTTCTTGGCAGCCAAACAGAAATCAACTAGCTTACCTCGGTCCACAGCAAGTAGCAAGCGAAGAAACCCTCGAATTACTCCTCGGTAGAGCTCCTTGTGCTTCCAGCTCACTTATTATCCCTTGCACAACCTAAATTATCAATAAATAATAAAATTCAAACAAAACACTGAAACTCAAAAACAAAAACGAAAACAAATAAATTGAAAATTATACCTTTCGAAAATCACGAGATTGCGCAGAGTCAAAAATCGGCCAAACTCTATCGAAATCCTGAAAGATCCAAACGCAAAACTAAACTCAAAACGAATATGGACCAGATCAAAAATAAACCGAACCGGAAACAACTCATTATTACCCTGGCCGATTGAGCGGGGCCACGAAGAGAAGAGAGGATGAAGTAAAGAAGTTGTTCGCCTAATTTAGGGTTCGAATGACGGAAGAGTCCGACCCGAGGGGTTCCGTTGGACGCTCCGAGTCCGATTATAGACGGATCCAAACCTAAAAGCAAGCAATTCGTATACATTGCGCTTTCGAGCTCTATCTCTCTCTCCTTCTCTCTATCCATTGTCATCTCTCTCTCTCTCTCTCTTTCTGAAAATCTTCTTTTTTTCTTGAGAAAGAAAAGATAAAAAATGGAAATTTAGAAATGGTGGATTTTTAAATCGGGGTCTGATTTTAATTTTGAGAAAGTTGGAGGGCTCTGTTTGAAAATTTGGAATGGGACCGGGGGAGGGATAATGTGAGTCGTTTAGCCGTTTGAAATTGGGAGAGAGAAAGCGGCAGGGTTGATGCTAACATGCACATGTAAATAGAGGGGAAAAAAATGAAAAATTGATTTAAAATTATAATATTTAATTTAGTTCATTTTTTTAATTAAATTTAGATTGAATTTTAATTTAAGATGTAAAAAATAAAAAAAATCCAATCAAACTGTGTTGTATATTTTTATTTTTTAAAAAATTTTAAAAAATAAAATAATTATTTTATATATAAATTTATGTAAATATATTAAAATTTTGATTAAAATAATATATCTAAAAAATAATAAATTTAAATTTAAAAATTAAATTAATAAAATTTGATTCAAAACTAATTAATTTAAAAAATATTCAAATTTAAATTTAAGATTGAAATTTTATAATATTATTTATTATTTAAATTCAATTTATAATCCGTACCGTTATCACCACTGATAAATAAAAAAAAGTATCGAGGCTGATGTCTTCCTGCGGGAAGGAATAAAAGTGAGGCTAACGTGCGCTGGGTGAAACCGTTGCCGTCCTGCTTTGAAAAAGTTTAGGTGGCGGCATTCGGTTCTTTTGGACGGAGGTTGTTTGCTTTTATCATGGTTGGTAGGGCCATTTTAAAGTTTCTGTTCTTTTTGCAAATTGTAGTTTTTTTTTTTAACAAAAAGTAATTATTTGCTCTAAAAAATAATATATATAATGTTGCCATTCTTTTATTACCATAACTTGATGTATATAATTTAAGAATTCAAATATTTCTTTACCTTTTAAAATGTTTGTTATATATTAATTTTTATAAATTTTAAGAAACAAATCTGATTTTAATGTATTTAATATTAAATTTTAAATTTTTTATAAAATTAAAATTTCATGATTTTTAATATTAAAAATTTTAAAAAATCATAAAAATTTAAATTTAAAATATAAAAAAAATTAATGTTAAAAAAAATAGCATAATTTTTAGACATGCAAATGGACAAATATAATGAGACAAAGGAAGTAATATATTTTGAAATATCACATACATTTTTTTAGTAATAAAAGTTTCTTAAATTTCATTAAGTACATCTTTATAATCTATTTTCGAATTAATTCAAATTTAATAATTTTATAAAAAATTTACCTTATCAAAATTTTTTTACTTATAAATTCCAATTCAAAGAATTAAAATTTTAGTAAATTTTTTTTATAATAATGTAATTAATCTCATTCTCACCGCCGTAATGAAAATATAAATTTTACTTTGAAATAATAAAGGTAAGAAATTTTGTTGATTTTAAATTTATGCTTGAGAAAGACAATGACTTTGACTTATTTTTGCTTAGCTTGAGAGCCACTTTATGGATTGTTGGAAAGCAAAAGAATGAGTAGAAAGAGGGGTTTCATTAAAGCACTTTTCAAATTTAAGTTGCAATTAATATGTTCATGTTTAACATGAAAACCACTCATAAGCTATTTCAAATTGGCTCAAAACAATAACATTATGAGGTTTTATATTGAATAAATTTTGATTTATATTTGATTAATTCGACAAATAATAATAATTAACATAAAACATAAAACATGGTTGGTAATGATAGGCATATTCTCCCATCAAAAAGAGGTACAAAATTCAATTAAATAATATATATATATATATATAAAAACAATATGCCCAAAAAGGTAAAGAAAATATGCAAGGAAAAAGTCATGAGCCAATGCCTTCATTAATAATACAATTTGGTCATTCCTTGTGTATTGTGAAAATTATGATAATAATAATAAAAAATCATGAGAGTAAAAATATTGTAGTTTTTTTTTTTCCAAAATTTTGTTTTTATATATTAAAGTATTTTTTTTATTTTACAAATGAAATTAAAAGATTATAAGATGTTCTACTTTCTTAAAGATATGTAATATCATATTTATTTTACTAGTAGAATCTAAAAACTTTACTATAGGATGTAATAGTTTTTTTTTGTTAAATATATTTTTATAAAAAAAATAAAAATACATAAATAATCTTAATTTTATTTTAACTTTTAAGTAAATTATTTAATTGAGTTGATGTAATTTGATATTGTCAAGATAGTATAAAATAAGGGTATTTATTCGGTTAGTTAGGTTAATTTCAAATCAAATTACTCAAAATTGAATCAACTAAATTATGTTATTTTATTTTCATTAACCGAACAAAATTTTTTAAATTCAAAAATTAATCGATCAAAATTAATTTGATCAGTTTAGTTAATTTTTTCGTTAATCAAGTAATAAAATACATTAAAGTTAAATTATATTTTAAAATATTATTTTCTCACATGAGAAACAAATTAAATAAAATTATCAAACAAAAATATTTAAACACTAAAGTATTAAATTAAAAAATTTAATAACTTGAAATGAAATTGATAAATTAATATATTTTTAGTTTTATTTATAGGTTTATAATATTTCAATTAATTCGATTTTTGAATCAAATTAACCAAAAAATAAAATTTTACTAAAATTATTTTTGATAACCAATTAAAATTAATTTAATAACCTAATGATTGATCAAATTAAATTGATTTGATCGATTAATTCGATTAAAATCGAATTATGAATATCCTTAATATAAATATTAATTAGCCCAAAAACGAAACCCAAAACGTCTGTGGCCCAAGCCTATTCAAAGCCTAAATTATGTTTATATTCTTAATGAGTCCGATAAAATAGGAAAGCCCATGGGCCAATTACTGTAGCACGTGCTTCTGCTTATAAAATATGTAGAAATAACAGTAAAAAAAATTTGAAGTTAAAAAAACCTATTACAAAGAAATTCCGAACAGGCAATTATCTAATCAAGCAGGAGCTCGTACAGAAGCAACCCACCAAAAGAAATACAAGAAACTTGAAACTTTTATTTGCTGCTAATGATTGTAGATGGTTCTTGGCCACAGCCTTTGAAGAGGAGAAGATTCACGAGCATTGATTCCATGGAGGCTGCATCAGCCAAGGTCTGTCTGTACTTTCCTTTTTTTCTTTAATCCTTTTTAATTTATTGATTCAATTCTGTAGTTCAAACTCTTGTTTTTGATGATGGGTTGATCTGGATTTTTGCTCTAATTATTGATTCCTATCATGGGTCTGGTTGCTCTTGGTGTTGTTTCACTTGGGTTTGTTTCTTTCTCTTGATTCATGAATTGATCATGGCAGCATCTAATAGAACAACAGCTAAATTTGATGAGTAGCATTTCTTTTCGGTTTTAGTTGAAATTGTTGTTAGAAAGTTTTATTCTTTTACTAGGTATGATTCTTTCAGTGACTGTTATTGTAGTAACCTTATTTTATGAATATCAGTTGCATATGATGTTGTGGAAATTTGTTCTGATTTGGTCTACCAATTTTTAGTTCTGTTTTTATTTCAACTGCATTTTGTGTGTCCTCTGGTGTTTGTAGAAGAGATATGTAGATGTAAGAAAAGATCTCAATTATTTCATTTTTTGAATCTTCATGATCCTGGTCTTAAGAAGAGGATGTTAGATATAACCTCGGCATTCTGTTGTATACTGTTAGTCGTATGGTCTTCATATGTGGCAAAGACACTGCTTTTCCATTCTTTTGTGCAATGATTTTTGGTGAAAATATTCGTTAGGACTGTTGATTTGAGACTGCTCTAACTTGTGTGGTATGCAGACTGCTACATGCTATATATTTATTTTTTTTGACTACCTTTGAATGATTTTAGGCTAAGCTTGTTGCTGCAAAAGAGAAATTTGGACGAGAAATTCGTGTCTTTGAAACTGCAGGACTGTTGTCAACACAAAATGAAGTGTCCAACACTGGTACAACCTGCCAAGACTTATTTTCAGACTTGTAACTTGCCTATTGGCTAGAAGTGTTAGTTGATTTTGTAAAATGATAAAATTCCATGTTATTTATTTTGTGGGCAGAGGAGTCAGATGACTTCTATGAGTTCACTGCAGAAGATTATTGTCGACTAATGGCAACTAAAAAGGAAGGTACTTTTGTTGATGAACATAACTCATAATCAATTCTATCCTTTTAGCTTGGTTTAGATATTTTTACTGGTTGATTTTGGGGTTCAGTTGTGTCAAAATAACTGTGACATGCTATCTGTCCTGAAAAGGACATGTATGTACACATTCTTGCTGTGCATAATTGCCAATTTTGTAAAACAATCACGCTAACCAAGATATTTGGAAAATTTTTGTTAAAAAATATTTACACTTTTTAAAGTGGATAAAATTGTGAACAGATAAGTTCTTGAAGACACGAAAAATTCGAGAAGCAGAAGAGGCAGCACGGAGATCAAGAATAACAAAGGTACTTGATAGTTGCTACTCCTTTTGGGAATCTCTTAGTTGTTTATGTGTTTAGAGTGCTTATATTCAAATGGTGGGAGAACTTTATCTAGAATGAGTAGTTCATCTTAGAGTAGGTTGGTATGCTTTTACTTTTTGTTAAGTTTATGTATTCATGTGCAGGCTGTGATAAGGGTTCGCTTTCCTGATAACCATACGTTGGAGGTCATATTTCATCCATCAGAGACAATTCAGAGCTTGGTTGACTTCATCACGAAAGTGATTGCTCAACCAGATTTACCATTCTATTTGTGTAAGCATATTTCAGTATAACACTTTTGGTTATATAATACCAGCTGGATGTTGGTTGTGAAACCCATGCACTTAATACCTAACATCTTATCATTTTCAGATACTACTCCTCCTAAGAAGCAAATAAAGGACATGACACAGGATTTTTTCTCTGCTGGTTTCATTCCTGGTGCAATTGTGTATTTTTCGTATGATCTGCCAAAAGGTTAGCATGTGCTTTCACATGTATGCAGCATTTAATCTTTCTAACTGTCAGTTGTATCGCAACATTGGTTCTTGACCCTATTGCCACACTTATGTTATGCTGGTGCCTAGTTGTTGTGACGCATTACTATGCCTAATATCCAAATTTTCTATTTTTAGTCTGTTATTGGCATGTTTAACATTGGCTTAATTTCATGCCTTAATTGTAAGGCTGTTGACTAAATACTTCCTAGTCTTAGAATTCCCTGAGAATTTTCACTGAACCACATAGTTTTTATCGTTGAATGGGTGCCATGCTTAACATTTTCCCCCTCATAATTCCATATATATGGACTTTTCTGACTCAAAATGTGATTCACTCTGGCTAATGTCACTTTGAAATGTTTAGGTGATGATGCTGCAGCTGCAAATTCAGCTCCCTTCCTTCAAGATGAGATCATGTCTTTGAAAGGTTTGGACGTCATCGCTGAGCATCCAGAGCCAGATCAATCTGCCCCAGAACCTGCTGCAGCCAGTGCAGTACCCTCCCCTCTTGTGCAAGAGACAAAGCCTACCGAGAAAAAACCTGCCAAGCCAAAGTGGTTTAAAATGTGATTTGATCACTGCAAGAGTGAGCTCCTTATTCCCTTTTCGCGCTTATGTTCCATTTTGAGAGGTGTGATTCCCCATCCATGTCTCCATAGTGATACCGAATCTTAGCCTTGCTACTGTAGGCGAGCTCCGGCATGTGATCTCAACAGTCTTAGACTTCAACAAGCAGTTTGTAATGCCAGATCAAAGGAGAAAGTTGTTAAATGGTGTCTTAACAGGTGACTCTTTTCATATGGCAACCATTTGTGGAGGATGTTAGTACTTGCAAAGTCAGATGTGAATATTTTTCTCCGTTAAGCCTTGCTCCTTTACACAGTTTCATAATTGCTTCCTCTGCTTCATTATTTCCAGAACATCCAAGTCAAGTATATAATTACATGCCCAAACCTAAGTCCAGTTATCTGGGCTTTGCTCAAATTGTTTTTGCTAGACCTGATCATTTAAAACACAATATAGTAATACGACATGAATACGATATGAAAGTAAGAAAATTTAATAAAATCAAAAAAATTATTTTATATTTTTATATAAAATATAATATGAATATACGAATTTTAATAGCACAAATATATGAATTATTGGATTTAGTTTCTGGAAAAGGCATGGCCAAATTTTGCTTGGCCGAAAGGCTGATGACTATCTAATCTTTATTTGTTTTTTGCTTTCATCTTGTGAATTAATTTCTCTATTTAACTATTCATGCACTCAACTTTCTTTGTTTAGTTACCACCTCAATCTAAAGGATGATCTTATAACTGTAGGTCAATGGTCTTGATATCAAGAGCACTACTGACCCAATAAATTCAAGTCACTTTTAGGCTTTTAGCATGTGGACACGCTATAAACTATAAAGTGGAGAACAATAAAGGTGGTGGATTTTTCATTTAGTCAATCGATCATGTCTTTCTTCCTCCTTTGATTAAGTGGAAGTCAATTTCCATCTCTTTTCAATGTGGGATCCGTGACATTTTTCTGGTCAAATTGTACAACATTCTTATTATCTTAGCTCTTTCACCAATAAGGGAGAAATTTTCATTTGGATCCGATCTTGGTATTTTTCATGAAAGTTTCACATCAAAAAAGAATCATGAAGTCTCTGATATTACTTGCTCCATACTTTGAACCTCGAAAACATATTTATTTGGTACAAGAAGACCTTTGACTTATAAATCCAAGACCCTTTTATCTCTTTCATACTTAGAATTGATACATAAATCTAATAATTTAAAATATGATATAATAATATGTTATAAATATGATACGAGTAAATAATATAATTTAAAATATTAATAATAATTATATATGAATTTAATAAAATTAAAAATATATATTTATATTTTTATGTTAATATGAATTATAATATATAATTTTTATATAAAATATAATAAAATATATAAATTTAAATATTTTTATTATACGAATATACGAATTAAATTTATCAAGATATTATTAAAAAGGAAAAAGAAATTTACATGCCTTTAAGATATAATATCTAATACAAATATAAAATTCAAATATCAATAGCTAAATTCTTTCTTTTATTATCATCTCTTTATAAAAAAAAAAATAAAAAGAAAAATACGAAAGGTAGCTCAAAATTTAAATCCTTACGATTAGGTCATGGGATTGCCTTTATCACGTGGCATTGCACTATTTGTGGATGGAGAGATCGCAGATTTGGTTAGGCTTTGATAAACAAAAGCGAAAGATAAATTAAAAATTGATATTATCATGTTATCCTCTACTCTTCCACCCCATCCCATATCTGTAATTATGGTTGAAAAAATGTGCTCAACAACCAGCCTATCCATTATTCTTTAGCACATGCTTAAGGATTTTTTTTATATATTTAAGATTATAAAATATGTATTACTATTATTATTAATTAATTAATTAATAGAAATTTATATATCACTTATAAAAAATTTAAATATGCTAATAATACTTGTGATTGATATAAATTGTAATGAATGAAATTCACTTATAAAGAATAGCTATTTTTTATTATAAAGTTTTGATCAAGATTCAAACTTCAAAATATTTAAATTTAAATTTTAAAATTATTTAATATATCATCAAAATTTTAAATTTAACTAATGGAATTAAAAGATTGACATGAATTAATATATTTTTTTTAATTAATAAATTAATCTAATAAAAACACAAAAAATTTTAACCTCAAGATTTTAAAAATTTAAATAAAAATCTAAATTTTTATACTCCCTTCATCTTAAATTATTTGAAAGATATTGATTTTCATAAAATTTTAAAAAATTTTAATTTTAATATATTTAATATTAAAATTTAAATTTTTTTTATAGAATTAAATTTTTATGGCTTTTAATGTCAAAATAAAAATTATAGATATTAAAAAATATATAATTTTGAGATATTTAAAAAAATTGAATAAAAAAAATAGACAAATTATTATTGAAATTAACAGACCGACAAGATTTTTTTAATACTGTGATCACCTCGTTTCAAGACTATCCATCTTAGTTGAATCTGCTAATCAGGACCATTCATTTGGTTGAACACGACGTTCATCACGTGCTGATCAGCCGAATTCATTATTTTATTCTTTTTTGGCATTATCACGAATCTCGATCCAGTGACGGTTGGAAAGTGGGACCTCTTTTAATGATTCCCAATACTGTAGTCTCCGTATATTATCGTATTTACAATATACACCTTTGACTTTTGAAATTTTTATGTTTCGTCCCACAAAGAAAGAGCATGTACACCCATTTCAAAATTAATTGGATGTTAAAGTATGCACAATAAAGAAAATTAAACCCATTTTAGTCATATTCTTTAATGGCCATGTGACAAAAATATATATTACAACTTCAAGAAAATTTGTTTTGCTTGCACTTTAAATATATCAATTTTGGATCTTAAAAAAAAAAAAATTTTATAACCCGACGAGTTTGAATTTGTTCTATTTATAATTTAAATTGTAAAAAGCTTCCCAGGAAAAATATATTGAATGCTTATAAAATCTACATATAAAATGTATCTTGGGGAATTTTTTTTGATTAATTTGAACAAATATAAAAGATATTTAGTAATTTTGATTACTGAAAATTTATTTTATTTATTATCAATAAAATTTTTAAAATTTACATGCAAAATTAATAAGATGATATATATATATATCATTAAAATATCTTAAAAATAAAAAAGTGAGATGTATCAATCTTTTGAATTCGCTTGTATAATTAAAATATTTTATTGATAATATATGTATATGAAAGATATGCTATGATAGTCTCATGCATTAATAAGTAATATGTATAAAATTATAACAAATTGTTTAGGATAGATATTTTTTGTGAATGATAAGAAAAAGTAAATAAAACTTTTAAAAATAATAAAATAAAGAAACATACTTGAAATGATCTTAACATAATATAAAAATTTAACTAGATTAGATAATTTAAAATATGATACGATGACATGACATAAAAATAATACGAAAATATAATAAAAAGTAATACGATTTAAAATTGTAATAATAATTATATATAAGTTTAATAAAATAAAAAAATTTATTTTATATTTTTGGATCAATACAATTTATAAAACATAATATAAATATATAAATTTTAATATTTTATATGATATAAATATACAGTCGTCAAGTTTAGATTTAACTAATAAACTGTTTTGGGGTAAATTCAGGTGAAAATGAATTTGATAGGAAAAATGATTAAAGCCAAGTAAAAATGTAAATTTCTTGTTGATTGACTTAAAATAGGTAGGACAGAAAATCATAGTATCCAATTAGCGGGGAATTAGCAGAAATACGGTGAAATAGAAGTGCAAGTTGTGGAAAATAATGGAAACATTCTTATTAAATACGGCGGCTTGCAAGAATCAGAGACAAATAATTGGTGAATAAAACCGCTTAAAAACCAGATATTTGACACCCACTTTTCAAAGATTAGCTGAAGACCAAATCAAACTCTCTCTCTCTCTCTCCCTCTCTCCAAGTCCCACGTTTCATTTTTTCTGAATTCTGCTGTTAAGGTTTGTTTTTACTTCATTTCTATGATCTGGGTTTTGATTCTTGCACCTGAAAAGAGTGTTTTTTATTGAATTTACTTTGGTTGGTTGTTTCATTTGATTTGAATTCTGAGTTGGGTTTTGATTTTTCATGTAAAGTTTGTTTCTTTCTGGGATCCATGCAATGAAGTTTGCATTTTTTTTATATAAAATTCTTGATTTCATGTCTTTATTAAGCTAATTGTAATTTAGTTGAGTAAAAATGTAAGTTTTAATTCAAGCTTTATTCTTTCTTTAATTTTGGTTAATATGATGGTTTAGTGTAGTGTAGGTTTTGAAGAATTCATTGTTGAGAGTTGAGGCCAAGCTAAAAACTGACTACCAATAGTTCCCTTCAATTCTTCAAAATTAATCAAATTATTTACTGAATATGACAATATTGGCAAAATCAGTATCTTTTTTTCTTACAGCTTACATATCTTTGAATGCAGATCATACAAGGGTCAGAGGAAGAGCAAAGCTTAGAAGATGGGATCAGGTGAATGGTGCCTTCAGGAAAGAGATAGTATTAGGAGTGACTCGATTTCAAGCAATGAGAATGTGTCAGAAACTGGGTGCCTCTCAATTATTGTTCTTGGTGCCTCTGGTGATCTTGCCAAGAAGAAGACTTTCCCTGCTCTCTTTCATCTTTATTGCCAGGTTAGGCGTTATATTCATTGATTTTTTATTAGAACTGATATGGAATTTGATCTATGTCTCACTATGTGTGGATTTTTCGGTTGGCTTTGCTGAAATGCTAAACATGGTGCACTTGGGTGCTAAATAACGGCTGGGATCGGATTCTGTTAAAGTTTCTTGAATAATGCATAATATTATAAATTTTTAAAATCCAATTCAAATCTGAACTTATCTTTTCTTGAAACCTATCTTATCCGAATCAAATTTTACAGGTTCGGTTTGGTATATCGGTTTTTATTTTTATTTTTATTTTATATATTATTTTAATTGAATTTTTAATATTTAAATAAATTTATATATAACATAATTATTTTATTATATAAAAATTTAAAAAAATATAAAAACTAATAAAAAATATATAATTTAGTTCTGTGTGATTTTTTTTTCGGTTTTTTAAATCTCGATCTGATCCAAATTTAATATATATATATATTTAATATCCTAACTGAATCAAACGCTACTGTTTCCAATTGTTTTTTGGTTTTCTCCCTTTCTTTTTCCCACCCCTAGTGCTAACCATAGATGGGGGATGGTGTGTATGCAGGGATTTCTACCACCACATGAGGTGCACATATTTGGCTATGCAAGGACTAAGATTTCAGGTGATGGTTTGAGAAATCGCATTCATGGGTGAGACATCTATCCTCTCCTTTAAAAAGAACAAAGAAGAGAATTTTATCATTAGCTCCATTTTAACAGTTGCTCACACTTTGGCTAAAAGAACATTGCTCACAGTTTGTTGCTCTTTTTTATGAATGATGCAAATGGTAGGCTTGACTGACATTTACTTGAAATGGCAGATATCTTGCCAGTGACAGAAATGCTTCACCCTCAGAAGATGTATCGAAGTTCTTACAGCTGGTCAGTATGACCTTAGTTATGTTTACCACACTTCAATCCTATGTTTGCTTGTTAGTTTTAACAAGCAGTTGATAGTATTTGTAGATCCAATATGTAAGTGGGTCGTATGATGCTGCTGAGGGCTTTCAACTGTTAGACAAGGAAATTGCAAAGCATGAAATATCAAAAAGTAGCCAAGAAGGGTCATCTCGGAGACTCTTTTATCTTGCACTTCCACCATCAGTTTATCCATCTGTTTGCAGGATGATCAGGAAATATTGCATGAATAAATGTATGTACTTCTATCGCAAGACTAGTGGTGCTGGAACATATCATTTTAGATGATTTGTAGGGCCTCTGTGAAGAAATAATTTCATGTTGTCTGTACTTTCTTCATATTTTTTCATAATTGACTGAAGCTAAGTAAACTTGCCATTCTATCTTCTCTTGGACACAAGTTATAAATGGTTTCTGCCTGAGATTTTTGATTGAGAGAGGCAATATCTTGTATAGTGATGTTACTTTTCTGGAAGTATTCCTTTGTGATTTGAAGACTATTCGGTTCTCTCATTTTACATGATATTTGCATGGACATGATAACTAGTTATATGATTTTTTCCAGCTGATCTTGGTGGATGGACTCGGATTGTTGTTGAGAAACCATTTGGCAAAGATTTGGACTCTGCAGAGCAACTGAGTTCCCATATTGGAGAGTTGTTTGATGAACCACAAATTTACCGTATTGATCACTATTTGGGAAAGGAATTGGTCCAGAACCTGGTAATGAATGCATAAACAGGTGCTTCATATTCTTGATTTCTTTAGCAGCTTTGCTTACATCTGGCTTTATGTCACTTGCAGCTGGTACTTCGTTTTGCTAATCGCTTCTTCTTGCCCCTTTGGAATCGCGACAACATCAATAATGTACAGGTGAGGATCCTCCTATTGTGGATGTTTAACAATTGCAAACTGCAATGGGGAAGGTACTGCAGATTAGTTTAGGACATGCCTGATTGGCTTACTGGGATAGGCTGTCATATTATTGCCACAAGTTACATCAGTATATGCTGATATTTACTTCAAAAAAGAAAAATATCAAAACCATAGTTGGCCTGACAGAGCTTTGTTTATTGTCAACTTATAATATTCTTTAGATATTATATTAATCTCTATTTTCTTTGTTTCTTCTGGCAGATTGTATTCAGAGAGGATTTTGGAACTGAAGGTCGTGGTGGATATTTTGACGAATATGGGTATGCTTCATAGCACTTATTTCAGATCCCCATTTTATAGGAAAATTTATGAAGAATCATGCACCTTCTCCTTGTAGGTGATTTGAAAAAATTTTTCCTAAAAGGGTAGAGCATCTCGTACAATAGAATAATGACTTTTGCTGGTTTCTTACAATTTCAATACATAATTCAACCTGACTTTGGAAAAGAATTAATGACCAAGCTGGTGCTCAAGACATATTAACTAGAAGAGAATATGTTAAATATCTGCTTTCTTAGTTCTTTTTTCCTTTTCTGCTCTTTGTGCAGAATTATTCGCGATATTATCCAAAACCACTTATTACAGGTAATGTCATTACTAACCTCAACTAGATATCATATGGTAAAGAATGCTGCCTTTGCCTCATTTGCAGTGTGTATAATTTGAGTTTCCACAAGTTAGAATATCATGTCTTATGATTGTGTATTGAGTTGTACTTTTATTAAATCTATTAAGGTTATACACTGCTACTTGTAAAAAGAAGTTCCTTAGATTATGTGCTCATTGTGTGGCCAAAAAAAAAAATTTTATGTGCTCATTTTCGTTTCCGAAGGCATTATGTTTCTTAACTCCTTTACCCAAAAGGAAAGCAGAACAAAAAAAAAAAAAAGTTGAAGTAAGAACATGCTATCGATATACCATTAACCTACTTCACTTATTTATTGAGTTCATGCCAACTGCAGGTTCTTTGTCTTGTTGCTATGGAGAGACCTGTCTCTCTCAAACCTGAGCACATTCGTGATGAGAAAGTGAAGGTGTGCATCTTTTAACTCCATACTTAAGGAAGTAACTGCTAGTTGTTTCATATCTATGTGCTAGAAGTATTCCCGTATGCATAATGAACCAATGAAGTTGCGTCTAAAAGGACATATGGTTGATGTAATACTCCCTTATAATTTCACATTTTCTTTCTAGTTTAGGTGCTCTAAGTTGGTGCTTTATTTTGCTATATGCTGATTACTATATGAACCCAGGTTCTTCAATCGGTACTTCCAATTAAAGATGAAGATGTTGTACTTGGACAATATGAAGGTTACAGAGATGATCCAACAGTTCCTGATCATTCAAACACCCCAACATTTGCAACTGTTATTCTCCATATACATAATGAAAGATGGGAAGGTAGAATAAAATAAGTGCATCACTTTTTTTTTTCTCTTATAATAACTTCTTGGTGGCTCAGCCCTAGAAAATCTGAACAACTCATTTGGAATTTGATGTTGTTTTATCCTTCCATGTCCGAGTCTGTCAGCCATTATTGTCGATTGTTTTATGTGCTTCTTAATTGGATCGACCAAATCATAAATTTAATTGAAATTTATCATTAGGTTTGCAAATTTCACTTATTGGTTTGTTTCCAGGTGTTCCATTTATACTAAAGGCAGGAAAAGCATTGAATTCAAGAAAGGCAGAGATACGTGTTCAATTTAAGGATGTTCCTGGTGATATATTCAAATGTATGACAATAGACCTTTAATATTCTTTATAACTTTGCTTTTATGATTGATTGTTTTCATTGAGCTGCTTCTGCAGTATCTTTGATAAACATTAGTGTGGAAGTGTGATAATCTCCTACTTAAATTTAGGTAATTACTCGGGAAGTTATCACATTTATGAATAATGCAAGGACTCCAGAAGTTTACTTTGAAAACTAAGATAGTGGTCTTTTTATATGTAGGGGTGTCTTTAGTGATTATTTCTCAATGGTAGATGAAATACATGTCATTTGTTGATCTAAAGTGATGATGGTTATTGTCCATAAATGAAAGATAATGAGCTGGTACAGTTCTTTTTGAAGGTTTTAGTTGTATTAATGATTAGGGTATGAGAGCGAAAGCGAATTTGTTGGACAAGTGAATTCTACTCATAAAACGTAATAACAGCTGGCCTAGATAAAGCACATTTACTATTCTCGCCAAAACCCTTTTCTTTATTAACTCTTTTGAAGTGTTCTAACCTTTTAATCAACTTGTTGCTTGAATTTTGTCATCTTTGTTTAGGTAAAAAGCAAGGGAGAAATGAGTTCGTCATACGCCTGCAACCTTCTGAAGCCATGTACATGAAGCTAACAGTGAGTTTGCTAATCTTATTTGTGTCCATCTGAAAGCTTTTGGAACTATAATTTCTATGTATGAGGATTTTTCTAGATTTTACTGAAATCCATAGCCAGATTCTACAAATACTGCTCATGTAGCCATCAAGAAATGACAGGATCTAGCAATTTTCGTTTAAGCCTTGAAAACTGTTACTAGAATTAATTGTAAGATCTTTATGCTTGTTTATTGACATGCATTTTGCGTCTGATGCAGGTGAAGCAGCCTGGTCTGGAGATGTCAACAGTGCAAAGTGAACTAGACTTGTCATACAGGCAACGCTATCAAGGTGTTACGATCCCAGAGGCTTATGAACGTCTTATTCTTGACACGTACAATCCTTGCCCTCCCTGATCCTTGAAATATTCTTGTCTGCAACGTTTTACTCTTTCTTATCTGAGCTTCAAAGGGCTATAAGTTTTGGTAACGAGGATCAGAATGAACATTGGATTTTTTTTTTTGATTATACAGGATAAGAGGGGACCAGCAGCATTTTGTTCGCAGAGATGAGTTAAAGGTAAGAATTTTGTGTATTCTTGGGAAGACAATAACATAAATGGGAAATTCAAACTGACATTCATATTGCTTCAATCATCAGGCGGCATGGGAGATTTTCACGCCTCTTCTACACAGAATTGACAACGGTGAAATGAAGCCAATACCATACCAACCAGGCAGCCGTGGTCCTGCAGAAGCAGATGAGCTTTCAGCTAAAGCTGGTTATGTTCAAACACATGGATACATTTGGATTCCTCCCACCTTGTAGAAACTTGCTAGCTTGCGGCATTCCATCACCATCTGACATATGAGTTTGAGGTTTCGTTAGGCCCGGTTTATAACACGTCCAATAAAATGTAGCCATGCAACCCTAAGTTATCCGGGCTTGCAGATTATGGTGTGTCACAAATTATGCTAATCCTTACAGCTTGTTACCCTGCCTATTCGAAGAATGTACCTTATTTTGGGTGTAGAATATGATTCAATATCCCATTAAATCATATTTGGAACACTTCATGAAGGGCCTTTCCTTGTCATGGTAGAAGAAGATTTTGTTTCTGTTTTTCTGTATGGCATCAGGTTGGCTTGACCCTGGAATAAAACTCTTCCAATCCTGTTTACTTGAGCCATCTTTCAAATGACAATTCATTTGGGAGGCCATTAAGGGTTTTTATTATACGATTGTGATGCTAATCATATTGAATTTTTTTTAATGACTAATGACGAATTCAAATGAACTCTAAATTATGATTGTCGAGCCAACCTTAACCAAAATGGGTTTATTGATATAAGAACAGCTGACATAATTTTTTAAAATCCCAACATATTTTATTATATTGAAAATGGTTTCACCCTAATTAGTTGGGGCATGGGATTATGATAAAAAGACACTTTGATTGTTTCAAATAGGAAAATGAAGGGAAACTTAAGCATGACATAGTAGCTTCAAATAATTGGAATTTCTCGAAAAAGATTACATTTTATATTTCAATAATTTTTTTTTTCCAAAAAAAAAATTTAAGAATAAGAAAATTATTTTATTTTTAAGATCAGGGTAAGCCCAATTTATAAAAGGATTTACAAATTTTTGAATTTTGAAATTATAAATTACTTATTAATAAAAGAACGTGAAAATTTAAATTTTAATATTTTATTTTCTGACCCTAAACTTTAACTATTTATGCCAACCTCCGTCGGCATATTTCAACAAATTAGTGAATTGATACTCCAACTTTGGCCTTTTTCTCTTTGAATTAAACAGTTTGCTTGACTAATAAAATTTATTTAATTACAATAATAATAGATAAAAAGAACCAAAAAGTTGGCTTGACTTAATAATTTACCAAAAAAGGGTTTATCTTAATAAATTATTATTATAACAATTAATTTTTATCCTCTTATTATCTAATAATTAATTATTTTATTTTTATTTTATTTTTGAAAATCAGCCCCAAAATTGAACCCCTATTGGCCAGGAACTTGGTTTCCTCTCCCTTCTTTCTCTCTTTTCTCCCCTGTTTTTGGCAAACTCTGTTTTTCTCTCTTCTATTCCCTTTTAACTTTTTCTTCTTCTTTTTCTCTCTGCATTGCTGTTTGCATGGAAAAGTTTGGCCTTTATCTCTTCAATTAGATTCTCTCATAACAATAACAAAAAAAAATTATTTTTTCTCTTTTCAAATCCCTTGTCCTTCTTCTTTTCTCTTTATCTCTTCCATTGTTTCAAAGTTCCAAAGTTTACCTTCAAATTCACAAAAAAGGGTAAAAAATATCTTTTTTCAGCTTAAATTAGCCTTCTTTCGTTAGGTTTTTACAAGAAATTCTATGGAATTTCTGGTGTCTTATTATTATTTTTAAGCCTGGTTTTGTCTCCTGAAATAACGGGTTATCTTGTATTTTGATTAGACTTTTATTTTGGTTGTTGAATCATGTTGATTCTTTCGATTCTTGGCTGAGTTTAGGGTTCTTGATAGAAAGTTATTTCTTTTCTTGGATTTGTTGGTGATTGAAGAATAAAAAAAGAATGGCTTTGAATTGGGATAATTTTGGGAATTCTTGGAGTTTTTGGGGTTGTAATTGGGATGAGGGAAAGCCCCATTTTAATGGAAGTGGCCAATGTGAATCAAAAGGCTTTTATGAGGCTGTTAATGATGATATTGTTGATAGATTGCCTGCAGATCCATTTGGGATGGAAATAAGGTCTACTTTTGCTGCAGCAATTACAGGTTGGATTCAGGATTTTGAGAATGATTTGGGATCAGATTTCTGTGTGTTTGGTATGCAAGATAGTGATGAAAAGAAGATTGCTGATCAACAACATTTGTTTGAGGGTTTAAATTGGGTTTGGAATGGTACCATGAGTTTCCAAAAGGAGGAAGCTAAGTCTAGTTTTTATGAATTTGGTTTAGAAGATGTTTATAAAAACATTGATGATCAGTCATCTTTTTTTAAAGGTGTGAATTGGGTTTGGAATAGTACCATGAGTTTTCAACAGGAGGAGGGTAACTTTGAAATCAATGAAAAACCAATCCCAAATGATGATTTTAATAGATTTGGGATTGGTAATGGACTGTCCTATGGAGGTTTTGTATTCAATGATGAAGGTAAAGGATTGGGGGACTGCAAGGGAGTTTTTTGTGACGGTAGTGAAGGAGCTGCTCCAAATGATGCTTTGTTTTTTTCTCTTGGTTATCTCGCCGTGAAGGATCTCCTTGCAGTTGAAAGGGTCTGTAGGTCTTTGCGGGATGCAGTTAGAAGTGATCCTCTTCTGTGGAGGAGCATCCATGTTGAACATTCACTGAGTAAGAGGATTACTGATGATGCTCTTTTGAAATTAACTAGCAGGGCTCAAGGCACTCTTGAATGCTTGAGTCTGGTGGGGTGCGTAAATATCACTGATGATGGCTTGAAGCATGTGCTTGAAAGTAATCCCAGGCTCACTAAGGTTAGCGTTTGCAGTGCAAGTTACTGTTCTTGTGTCAACATGTTTAATTCTTATACAGTAATTGATTTATTATATATTTCATACTTTATACTTATACATTTATCTCAAGGACTATATTAACAAAATTGTTTCTTTTAATTATTTTAATGTTGTTTTGCCTCCTTTGTTATGTACTGGTTGCGACTGGATTTAGAGGTGGAAAGTCATTTTTGTTTTGTTTACAATTGTTTGCAAGATCTCACTCACTTGTGTTGTGTGCCATATCGTTTCTTTAGCTAGTTGCATGGTGTACTTGTTATACATTTATCAAATTGCATCACTGGACTGTTTCTCTGAGTATGATATGCATGCCATTTTAAGTTTGTCATTGTGCAGGATAGTTTAAAATTCCATAGAAGTTCATTAATTCTAACATGTGGAGTAATGCCTTGTGCTTTTGAGTTTTGATAGCATTAACTGGATAAATTATTTTATGTAATAGTCTTTGTAAATTCATGCACTTTAGGATTTCAATGAGTAATAGGATTCTGGTAATTGTAGTGACGTCTCTTATCACCTTTTAAACTTAAAAGTGAGTTATATGCTGCTGCCATATTTTAATCTCCTTGAAGCTTTGTAAGTTGAATTTATCAAAGCTGGATTTTAAACAGTTTTTGTTCTTTATGAAGTCTTAGCTAGTTAACCAATCTACCTTTTTTTCCATGCAGCTAAGTGTGCCAGAATGTACAAGACTCAGTGTTGAGGGCATTTTGTTCAATTTAAGAGCCTTCAGGTCTGCTGGTTCCCCAGGAATAAAGCACTTAAGAATAGGCGGATGCTTCGGTGTAACAGAGGAGCAATTCAAGGAGTTTCAGTTCTTACTTGGTGTAGATAACTCAATGCAATGGAGAGAGCAAAAACCACAATTTTTTCGTCAGGGGCAATTGCATCTCATGTGTGATGATGATAGGGCCATTGACATCGAGGTTTGCCCCAGATGCCAGAAACTGAAACTAGTTTATGATTGCCCATCGGAGAGTTGCAGAAGAACACATCATGCTGCTCAGTTGTGCAGGGCTTGCATTCTTTGCATTGCACGCTGTATTTGTTGTGGATGCTGTTTTAAGGATTGTGATTACGAGGAAACATTTAGTCTAGATTTGCTTTGCTTTAATTGTTGGAAGAAGATCTTTAATCATGAAGAGAAGCCAGAAGTAATGGGTGCCTCCTCTTCTGAACACACCGCTTTTCATCAAGAGACGGGGTATCAGCTTTGTTTTTATGGCTAGTATAGAAGAAGTTCTATGCCTTTTGGCTGAGAAACTGAAACTAGTTTATGATGCCAGAAACTGAAACTAGTTTATGATTGCCCATCGGAGAGTTGCAGAAGAACACATCATGCTGCTCAGTTGTGCAGGGCTTGCATTCTTTGCATTGCACGCTGTATTTGTTGTGGATGCTGTTTTAAGGATTGTGATTACGAGGAAACATTTAGTCTAGATTTGCTTTGCTTTAATTGTTGGAAGAAGATCTTTAATCATGAAGAGAAGCCAGAAGTAATGGGTGCCTCCTCTTCTGAACACACCGCTTTTCATCAAGAGACGGGGTATCAGCTTTGTTTTTATGGCTAGTATAGAAGAAGTTCTATGCCTTTTGGCTGAGGACTGTGGTCGAGACTCTTCTGCACAATGCAAACCTAGCAGGTGGCTGTTGAATATGTGCATAGACGCCCTAGCAGTGAAGTTTAACATAATCCATGTATATTATAGTTATGTCAGCTTCTCCATGCTACCTTAATGGGTATTTCCTGCTATGTTGGTTAATGCAGTGAAGAATTGAGGTCACCTTTGATCTTGTGAAGAATTAAAGTTGGTTGGCAAGAATGAGATGCTGAAGATAGATACACTGATGAAAAAAAGGACAAAAATGAAAAAAAAAAAAGCTGAAAAAAGAAGGTAAAACAAAAAATAAATAAATAAAAGAATTACTGGTAGATTGAATCATGGATTCTGTTGAATAAACATATCTTAAAGTGGGCTGTTTTTTGGTCAAAGGACATAAAGAAAGTGTTCCGAATGCTGTGTCTGCAACAAGTTCTGTGTGTCATTGCATTATTCTTCATTCAATCCTTGTGAATGAGGAGAAGCAATATTGGCCAGCAATATTTAAGACGAAAAAATTTTTTTTGGTTGCTGCCATAGTTAGAACTTAGAAAATCTCTCTCTTTTTCTCACAGCTTTTTTTTCTTCAACAAAAACATCAGCCCATTGACAAAGGAGAAATCCCAGAAAACGCCAATAATTGTATGTTTCTTTTTTTTTCCCGATTTTTTGGATTGATTTCTTTTTTGGTTTTGGTTTTTATTAATTTTCTTCGTTTCTATTCAAATTGTCTGTGTGCTCAATTGGAAGCGGTGGGTAAATCCGATGCATGTCAAGGTTGCCCTAATCAAGAAGTTTGAGCCACCACCCCTAAGGTTCCTGACCCAGGTTTGTTCTTTCCCTCTTTACCATCTTTTCATTATGTTTTCTGGGTCTAGTTTTTGTTTTCTTTTTCATTAAGTATTAGTTTCATGGTGTTGGTCTGAGGTTTGTAAATGAACTGTTTCTGATGGCTAGAATAGAATTTTAAGTTTCAAAAGAAATTTTAACAGCCTTGTAGTAGCATATGAAGCTTTAGTCAAGAAAATAGCAGCTAGAGATACCACCGATATTGTTGTTAGAGTGTCCATAGGAGCCAGAATTTGTTAATGAATAAAAATGAAGATGGAGCTCTCATTTTCTGAATGATAAGAGAATGCTTCAAAACTTCTAGTATTGTGTGTTTAAGGAAGCTCACTCATGATTTGTGGTCGAATAGCATGATTTAACTGGATTTTCAATTTTTATAGGAAACTGAAACTAGTCTTAGGTGATTTCATATAATTTGTTTTAGAAATGTGTATGCTATGGTGGTAGTTAATAAGTTTTCCCTAGTCTTAAGATGCATATGCTAGTAAATCAGTTTCTTGTCAATCTGAGGGTTTTGATTGAGATTATCACCCTTTAACCTTCTTTTGAACTAAGAAGGCTGTCCTGGATTGTCCTTATAGTTTCATTTAGCTATTTGCCACTTTGTCTTTTTTAACATTTTCATAATGATTTATATGAGAAATTTCGCATATAATTGCCTTAATGGTATAACATTGGCAGCTGTAATGATGCATTTGATTGTTGGTTAATAGTCTTAGGTTTTACCTCATATCTTAAAGAGCAACTGTTTGCAGTTACCATATATTCCAGAAATGAGAACTGATGAATGCTTTTGGCCTATCTACTTTGCCTCTCACCATATTGGTTTTTGCTCTCTTCTATTTTATATGTGGCATATTGTGGGTTTGGTTGTATGAAAGGATTTGGCTATCTTCTTATAGAACCATGTTATCTGTCGTATGAATAAATTATCTGACATACTAATATTTGTTCCATTTCATTCTGCAGACTTGGTGGCAATTGCAGAAAGAATGGCTACTGTTAAGCATGAGATACTGGTTTTATCAAAGGAAGGGAAGAGTTGGCAAGAGTACTTTCTATGCCTAACTCTTATTTGCACTAGTAGCTAAGAATTTCCAGGTTGGTCTACTGGACATGGATATTTGTGGTCCAAGCATTCCAAAAGGCTTGGACTAGAAGGTCAAGACATTCACCAGAGCAAGTTCCATTTCATTCTGCAGACTTGGTGGCAATTGCAGAAAGAATGGCTACTGTTAAGCATGAGATACTGGTTTTATCAAAGGAAGGGAAGAGTTGGCAAGAGTACTTTCTATGCCTAACTCTTATTTGCACTAGTAGCTAAGAATTTCCAGGTTGGTCTACTGGACATGGATATTTGTGGTCCAAGCATTCCAAAAGGCTTGGACTAGAAGGTCAAGACATTCACCAGAGCAACCTTGGCTGCTCTCCTGTTCATGTTGAGTCCAACATTGGGGTAATTTCAATTGGATTCATGCTCCCTGACCCTGATGAAGCTGTTATTTGGAGAGGACCACGTAAAAACAGGCTCATCAAGCAATTCCTTAAAGATGTGTACTGGGGAGAGCTTGATTTTTTGGTTGTTGATGCCCTTCCCAAGACCTCTGATGAGCACATCTCTATTGTTCAGTTCCTTCAGGCTACTGGAATAGATGGAGCAATCATTGTCACTCCCTGCCAGGAAGTCTTTTTGATTGATATGTGTAAAGAAATTAGCTTCTGCAAAAAAGTTGGATTACCGGCTCTGGGAAATGTTGAGAACGTGAGTGGCTTGTGTCAGCCATTGACAGATTTCAGGTTTTTGAGGATGACAGAAAGTGGTGAATAGACTGATCTCACAGAGAAGGTTATCGAGTCTGCGAGGGAGAAAGCACCAGAAATGCTATATCTCATTGCTGCCGGTGAAGTTTTTAATAGCAGTAGTGGTGGTGCAGCAAAAATGTGTACGGAAATGGGAGTACCATTCCTTGGTAAGGTGCCATTGGATCCACAGCTTTGTAAGGCAGCTGAAGAAGGCAAATCTTTCTTTGCTGAACAGAAATGCAGCGTAAGCGCTTCTGCATTGAGGAATATTATTGAGAAGCTGATGTAACATTATTGGTTTGAAGAAATGACTGTGGAACAGTAGCCTAGGCTGAACTAATGCTTAGCTTTACCTGGAGATCTTTGTGGAACAGAATTTTGTTTGCATGTCATGTAATAATCTTTTTCCTTGGTCATGATTTTGTGATATTTTTCTTGGGGTACAACACTGGAGTTATAGAAGTTAAACAATCTGTAGTCTGAGCTCTGAAAATTTAGAAATTACAATTTTAAACTATTCATTAGTTCTGAATTTACTTTTCATAACTAATGCTTAAATCCATAATATCATTAAATAAAACTGGGGTGTGGCTGAAGGTGTTGCTTTCGGAGTCTTGGATAACTGGTTTTATGCCATTAGTTGATATGAAAAGCTGCATCATTTGGTTTACAGTAGGTTACCAGTCAACGGTTAAACTAGAGCAGGCACTAGATCATGCTGGTGACCCTCTGGCCATTACCCCATTACCAATACTGATGCAGCTACAGCTTGTGAAGTCCCAGCTTGGGGTTTCAAGTACACCTCTGGAGATGGTTTTTTTTTTTTTCTTTTTTTTTGGTTTTCAATTCGAGTTTTCTTCTTCCTCTCACTTTTATTTTTGGAACTTGATCAAAATCCTAAACTGATGGACAACTCTATCTGGAGCAACTGATATCTGCTCAATTTTTTGCTTTGCTTCACTTTCTGACTATAATTTGACTGTCAAGATTCTTTTTGAATATATTTATTAGTTATTTATCTCATCAAGATCTTGAACATTTGAGGCATGTCATGAATTTTTTTAATGGCAGGAGGTGAATGCCACCGTTGTTATTATGTGAGGATCATATCAGTCAAGTTTGTGGACTACACAAGAAGGATCGGTATCTATGGAACTGCAGATGCAGCTAAAGAAGCAACTTGATGAGGGTATTTAAAGTTCCTTAGCTTCATCATTTCATAAAATGAACTTGCAAAATTGTTTCTCAGATACTATTATACAAGTCCTTCTGTTTGTGGGCAGGAATCACTGTTGAGTTGTGCCTTTACAATGATGCTGAGTGCACAGTTGTTGGCACTTGACACAGAAGATGATCTCCATCATTTTCTTACTAGCCTTTTGGCTTAGCACGGTTAAGAGACAGAAATGGATACAGAAGCATCAATGCTTTGAATGATCTCCAATCTGGTCCAGACATGGCCTAGGCCAACTGTTATAAATTTGTTCTTGTTGGATCGGAAAACTTGGAACCATCAACTCAAGCAAACCCCAGACCCCATTACAGGTAATCCAGCATGAAGATTAAGTATTAAACAAACGATGTTAGGAGTTGATATCATTGAAATTGACATAAAAGAGTTTTTTATTTGCGGGTTCTGTCTAGGAGTGGCATGTCGTCTACCTATAATTTTGATAGATTCTTGATCGTCCTGATAGTAAATGCCTCGTGTGTTCCCATACTATTTACCCTTCTCATTTCGTGAACATGGATTTCTTGATGTAATTACAACTATTTTAAAAGGCATGAAAAGATTAACTGTGAAAATCATGAGTTGAATGCATGTCTGTGTCACTCACCAATAATAAGGTTGTCGGGTCATGGACTTTAGATGTAGGATGCTGCAACTTGCAAAAGGCATATCCTCTTAAGGTTGTTGGCATATTCACCAATTAGTCAAAAGACTCCTAAGTCATAACCAACAAATAAAAAGTTTTGTAATAAGGAATTATTATTATTATTACCAGGACGGATCCAAGGTGGGTAGTGGGCTGCTGCTTTCACTATAGTTCTGAAAATTAATTTTAATTATTATAAAATTATTTAAAATTTTAATAATTTTTGTATTTTATTTTTATTGAAATATTAAAAAATAAATAAAATTATTAAAAATAAATTCATTTTTTTGGACCCCATTAATTGTAAAAGAAATATTGAGTCTTTTATAATATTTTGAAAAGTATATGAATGTATTAAAAATTAAAAATTGAATAAATTAATGATTTATAATATAAATATAAAATTATTGATATTTAATATAATAAATTTATTTACACTGACTATAATCTTGAATTCGTCTTTAATTATTATACAAAATAGAATTATTTGTTTATAAAAATATAATTTAAAAATAAAAAGTTATTAATATTAAGATTTTAATTTTATATTTATTAAATTTTTTAATATTAATTGTATAAAATAAATTAAATTAAATTTACTATGATAAATTATCAAAATATATTACGATTCAAGAGTCATATTAAATAAAAATTTAAATGAGCGATTCAATATAATAAAAAGATATTTTCATCCAAAATAAAATTTTCACAACATTCTCTTATGGCATATTGTTTTCATCGAAAAATTTTTAACCTTATTACGAAAATTATATTACTTATTTCATAATTTGGCTAGAAAAACTTTTCATCTAAAATTTGAAATTTCAATGTCTTTTTTCCGAAGAAATATTGAGAACTTTCTAGAAGATCAGATACAAGAAAAATCAAAATTGGAAGTATGCCATAAACAAAATTTCCCTTTAATTGCTGCGCAAGCCGAAGGTCACCACTGTAGTTTCCATCAAATCCCAAACCCAAAAATAAAATTTCGAATTTCCAATGCTTTTCATTATTTACCATTTCCACCCCTATCTCCTCATCACTCCCGTGAAATCCTCAACCAACGATCATGTGACTACCTAGAAATCAACGGCCATGATACTCCCACCAGATGTCGTGGTCCGCACTTTCCTCCTAGAATTCTCCGTGATTTCTGCCCTTTCCTCCATTTAGGTTACGGACTCTCATATATAAGCCCCTTTTCTGTCTTTATATCCTCTCCGTATCATCATTTCTTTTAGCTTCAGTCTCAGATCTCTCTTCGCTCCTTTCTCGTCATCTTTGGTTGAGATTTCTTTGTTGTTTTTTTATTATGGGGAAGATCAAGATCGGAATCAACGGTACATATTTTTTTTAGATTTTTTGCTTGTGATTTTTTATTTTTTAAATTATGGATCTGATTTTATATTTTTTGTGTTTGGTGAAGGATTTGGAAGGATCGGGCGTTTGGTTGCGAGGGTTGCTCTCCTAAGCGAAGATGTTGAGCTCGTCGCTATCAACGATCCTTTCATCACCACTGATTACATGGTTCGTACACGTACATTTGTATTTCCCTCCGTATTTTTTTTCATTAGTTGCATGCATGTTTTACTAGATTGGAGAGGAGTGACGATTTGGATTTATTTTTCCTGATCTGATTCTTGCACTTTCTCACTTACCAAACAGAGCGTGATGTGGTTTAAGTGTAAATAATTTAAAATTTCAACGGATAACAGATCTGTTAAAAAGGATAGATCTATCTGAGATTTATTATAATCTGACTGATACTGCTTGGTTTCTAGTGAGTAAAGCTTGTGTCTTCTTTGGAAAGAAATATTGTTAACAAAGAATCATTTTGATTAGTTATTTTAATGATTTGATTATTGATGTGATTTGAAATTGTATTTGTGTAGACCTACATGTTTAAGTACGATAGTGTTCATGGTCAATGGAAGCACCATGAGCTTAAGGTGAAGGACTCAAAGACCCTTCTCTTTGGTGAAAGGCCTGTCACTGTTTTCGGCATCAGGTATTATTATATATTTTTTAAAGAGATTTTGGAATTGTCTTGAGGAGCATGATGAGATTTGCCAGCAGAAACTGTTTTATTGATGATTCGTTTTCTGATTGATGTTAGAAACCCTGAGGAAATCCCATGGGCTGAGACAGGAGCTGAATATGTTGTCGAGTCTACTGGTGTTTTCACCGACAAGGACAAAGCTGCTGCTCATTTGAAGGTTTGTGATAGTAATTTGATCATATGTCTATATTTTGGCCATAATGAGAAGAGAATTTATTGGAATTAACATGACTTTTGTTTATAAGATGCAGGAATAGTTGAACTTAATTTTTTTTCTTATTTTCATGTTTGGTATTCTTATCTGGGTTTTGCTTTTTGCTTTTTAGGGTGGTGCAAAAAAGGTGATCATTTCTGCTCCTAGTAAGGATGCCCCCATGTTTGTTGTGGGTGTCAATGAGAAGGAGTACAAGCCTGACCTTAACATTGTCTCCAATGCTAGCTGCACTACCAACTGCCTTGCTCCATTGGCTAAGGTTAATAATGATTCCTCTTTTATTTATTTATTTATTTTTTTGTAGCATTGGGCTAATACTTAACTCTTCAAGGTAATAATGAAACTGTGAACTCGGTGGCAGGTTATCCATGACAAATTTGGCATTGTTGAGGGTCTTATGACCACTGTCCATTCGATTACTGGTAAATACTTATGGTGTTTTATTGCTTGCAACAAGATGTGCATTGTTGACTGACTTGTCTTTTTGATTCAGCTACCCAAAAGACTGTTGATGGTCCATCAATGAAGGACTGGAGAGGTGGTAGAGCTGCTTCCTTTAACATCATTCCTAGCAGCACTGGAGCTGCCAAGGTATATTTCCATCTTTAGATTTTACCTGTATTTTACCTTTGAATAAATGAGTGATATTTCAGCACCCTGTCTATATTGTTGTTGGAATTGAAGTTTGATGGTTGCTTGTGGTGGTTATCTTGTAATTTTATAGGCTGTGGGCAAAGTATTGCCAGCATTGAATGGCAAGCTGACTGGAATGGCTTTCCGTGTTCCCACCGTTGATGTCTCTGTTGTTGACCTTACAGTGAGACTTGAGAAGAAGGCTTCTTATGAAGATATTAAGGCTGCTATCAAGTAAGGATTAGAATGATTTTTCTCTTATAATGATACTTTGAAATGTAAGATGCGTGCCTAAGTTGTCCCTAAGATATTTAGAATATAGATAATCTATATAATGTGCTTAAAATTCTTTTCTCCCTCTTTGTGTGTAGGGAAGCATCTGAAACCTACTTGAAGGGAATTCTTGGCTATGCAGAAGAAGATTTGGTCTCAACTGACTTTGTTGGAGACAGCAGGTGCGGAGCTTCATTCTTAATAATACCTTTTGTAACGTTGATTTTCTGGCTTGTGGCAAATGGAGCTTTATGTTCTGTTGTGTTCGAACAGGTCAAGCATTTTTGATGCCAAGGCTGGAATTTCTTTGAATGACAACTTTTCTAAGCTTGTTGCATGGTATGACAACGAGTGGGGTTACAGGTAAACATTCATTTCTTTATTTCTATAGCTCGATAATACCTTCAACGAGTGTGTATGGTTCTCCTTTGTTGCTTGTCTAATGGGTCCTTTTTTTTTATTCTGTTGCAGTAGCCGTGTGGTTGACTTGATCCGACACATGAACAGCACCAAGTGAGTGATTTTGGTTTGTTGGTGTAGTCAAAGGGAAGCTTTAGCCTCCTTCAGCTTTTAGCAATTTATAAGAGAATGTCATGGGAATAATAGAACCGTACGGAACATAATTTTGTGTGAAAACTCTACTTATCGAGATGCGGTGTTTCTAATTTACCCAGTATGCATTTTATCTAAAACAGTCGTCTCTTTTTGTTGGAATTTGGTTGTTTTCTCAAAGTACTCTAATGTTTCAAGTTTAATTGCAGTTCTCTTTAGTTTCATTATTATATTTTGTGGTTATTGATTTTGCTCTTGCTCTCGTTGCTATTCTAGTTGTGCATGTGTCCATTAATTGAGCATTTGTGCGGTTAAGAGAGCGTTTTTGAAAAAATTAAGTGAAATAGCATTATCTAAATGGAGATTTTGGGGAATATATTAAAAAAATACGATGTGATATTATTTTAATTGTTGAGTTGTACGCAAAATCCATAATTTCTTAATTTCGCAAGTATGTTTAAAAAATTGTAAAATGTTTTATAGTTCTTAATATATTTAGGGGGTACTTATCATTACATATTATGATATTTTTTAAGGGGTCACCTGAATTGTGATTCAATGAATGAATTGGGAGGGATAAATGTACATGAAAATGTCTGTAAATCAATCTTAAATTAACGTCTATATTCACGTTAAATTAACGTCATTTATAGTAGTCAACAATTAATTACGATGATGAGCCAATTTCTTTAAATATGTTTTTTACTGTCCATTGGAATAACAATCACTGAATCACATGGCCGAATGGGCTCATAATGGGATGGATGTGGGCTTCAAGCAGCTGCAAAATGTGACAATTGCAAACCTCGTTTTGCTTTAATTTCTCCTCCTAACCATATCAAATACCTCTCTTTCCTTGTTAAAGGATTAATTTAGGCAAAAATACACCAAAATATCATTACCATTCTGAGAGCTCTTCTCCTTCTTTTAAGAACATGGCAGAAACACTTGTTTCTGCAATTATACAGCAGATAGTAACAGTCACCACTTAAAACGCAAGGCAAAACTTGAGGCTGGTAACAGGTGTTGAGAAAGAAGTCAAAAATCATGAAAGCAATTTGTGTGGTTGAAGATGTAGAGGAAAACCAAATCGTGCAAAAAAATGTCAAAGCAGTGGTTAGAAAGGCTCAAAGAAGTTTGTTCTGAAATGATGTGTGGAAAACAGCAACCCTCAAGTTGGAAATAGATGGAGTTGAAAGCATTTATGTCAAAAAGAAGGTATGTCCTTTCCTTCCAAGCTTTTGTTTTTGTCATCAAGTTGTTATTAGATGTGATTGCCAAAGAGAAAGACAAGATCAAGTGAAATCAAACAATCTGGACGACTAGAAACCACATCTTTTGTTGATCTTTCCAAATTACATGGTCGAGATGAGATAAAAAATGAGATAGTAAGCACATTGTTGGGTGGGAACAATGACATTCAAACCATATCTATAGTGGGGATGGAAGGTTGGAGTAAACAGCCTCTTGCTCAATTGATTTATGGCATATTTCAACAATGTATCTGATTTTTTTTTTTATCAAAACAAAATTACCAAAATAATTTTAGGACTTCTCGGCCAAGATTCAATCAATATCCAAGTAAAGTTCGAAAAATGTTTTATAAGATTGAAAAGGTCCATTAATATGTCATAATAGATCCGAACACTGGCCTTCGACTTCCTCCTTGGATTTATTTATATAACATGATTCAGTATGAGACTTGTTTAAAACTAGCAGGCACTGTAAAATTTAATGTGTAATAAATAGTCTTTGGTCCCTTCCTGGGCCATCAACTTCTGTATCTGTTATGTGCTTGTGCAGCTTGCAATGTATATTAAGATTATTGAATTTGAGGGGCTAAAGCCTTTGGGACTAGAATTGGTTCATGACCAATCCCACTTTTTGTAAATTACCAAAAATCCTAAATAATCATCACTTGCTTCATGGGAAAAGCGAGGGTTTTTATTAGGGTTTATGTTATGGGAAAAAAAATTAAAACAAAAAAAGGAATTGTTGGGCTTCACTATGGATTTTGGGCCATCTTCTTATTGCAGAAAAATGAGCCCAAACATGCCCAAAAAAACTCTTCTCTCTCCACTTGAAGTTCTCATTTCTTCTTAGTCTCAGAAACCCTAAATTCCCAAATTTGAATCCGAAAAAGGGAGGCGCAAGAATTGAACTTGACGAGATCCCAAGAAAGGTAACTTCTTTTTAGTTATTCTTTTTTACTATTGCACCGTTTAGTTACTGACAAATAGCTGAAACAGAAATAAAAAGAACTAAAATTTTCTTTTCCATTTTTCGATTGATTTTCCTAGAAATCAAACAGAAAAAGTTCTTTTTTTTTACCACCCTTCTTTTTACTTCAATCCCAGAAAGAAAATGCAATACTTTTTTCCCCTTTTTCTTTTGTTTGGATTGGTTGGATATTCTGCTGAATGGGTGCTTCTTTGATTTACTTCTGTAAAGTTTTTATAATTTGGTTTGGATGTTCAACAGTATATATTTGATTTGATAGTTGCTAATTGTTTTAAGAAGCTTAAACCTTGTCTTCATGGTGTTTGGAGTTTGGACTTGAATGATGAAAGATACATGAGAAATGTTGTTCCTAGCAATATTTGCATAAGCTGTCGCCAATAGTATGAATTTGCTTGAGTGAACTTTTGACTCCCCTTGTATTCTTTCTCCTCAATATAGGCTTTGTTGCTTAGAATTAAGATATTGTATGAGAATATGGTACTTCTTAAAATAGATGTTGTAGTTTATCTTAGGCGCTGCATATGGCTAGTTTCATGCTATGAATGAGCTTGATAGGATTGGATGGATTATAAATGGATGGGAGATTTACATGTTTTCTCTTCTCTTTGGAAAGTAAAGTAGAATGGAGATACTCTTGAATGTTTATGACTATGATGAAGGTGCAATTTCATGGTTATCTTTTCTGCATATCGATTTTATCTTCTTGAGCATCTGTGAATGTGATAGGAAACTATATCCTGGCACTCTCAGTCTTTATCTACTAAGGAAAGCCCAATCCCGTGAACTTTCATCTTTGTTTTCTCAATTCCGTCATCTAGTAGCTATTATTTCATGAATGAGCTTTGGCCCTTTGATTTTAGGATTTTTTTTTTTTTTTGAGAAACTTCTTTCCTCAAAATGTTGAAGTGACAGCTGCAATGTCCTTTGTGGATCCTATCCATGTTTACCAGTTTCACGTATCAGACACATTTCCACGTCTAACATGGGTACAGCCTTTACAAGTTTTTTCCTTATTTTTGGAGGGTCCAAGAGTCATACTCATGTCTATCTGAGGTGTCTGCTATGCATCCAACTTGGCTATGGGTAAATTGAAGAGTTGGAGTAAAAATTGGATCCTTTGAAGTGTTTTGACCATTGTGGTTGTGATTAGATTCCTCAGAACTCATTATTTAGAGGATACAAATTGTTTTGATCATAATCATTACACTATAGAAGAAAGGAGAGGAAACATATACTCATCAAATCTGTGGATTACTGTATATGAATTATGATTAAGTGATTCCTCTACCGGCTTTTGGCTTTTTTGTGGAGGGAAAGGAATAAGAGATCTTTTTTCAAGGGCCAAAATTGCTCATAAAAATGCTCTTACATATTTGGTTTAACAACTCTTAATTTTGGTTCAACAGGCAACATTTCATAGAAATACATGTTATTGTCAATGCTATAGATCTCTAGTTTTTGGAATAATAGTCTTGTAGTCAGGTTGGCATCCTTTTGGTGCCTACTAATGATTTGGCTTCACTGATATAAAAAATAAATCAATAAATAAGTGTTTCATCATTTTTGTTTTCGATGTTTCAACAATTATTGACGTAAATTTTTCAGGGGTAAAGTAATGGCATTAAATCAGATCAGATCATCGAGAAGTGTCATTATTGCCAAGGAGGCAGTTGTGGTGGGGCAAAGAACATTTGCTGCTGGAGCTGGCAAAAGCCAAGAAGGGCTCTAAAAGGGCAGGCAGTGATGCGCCAAAAGCATCAATATTCAGCACAGAAGTCAAGTCCACAACAGTGGTTGGTGCAAATATACTCAAGGATGGAGCAGATCCAAAGATCTTGCCTGATTCTAAGCATCCTGATTGGCTGTGGCATCAGCTTGACAAAGGTCCAGCATTGAGTAAGCCGAGGAGAAATATCAAAACACTCCCATATGAAGATCTTAGACGCTTTGTCAAGTTGGATAACCGAGCAAGGATAAAAGAAAATTCAGTGAAGGCCAAAAACTGATAGTAGTGTAAAAGTAATTTGTATGAGGCATTATTTCTTTGTCTAGAACGATGCATCCTTTCTTCTGGGATTCCCTCTGTTGATTGACTTGCATGTGAGTAATGATGGAATAGAAATGAAGGCAAATCACAAATAATTAAGCATCTCTGTATCTCTAAATACAGCTTTATTTGGCTTTCCTTTTTGGTTTTTTCTTTACCCTTTGCTGTAAAACTTAAGATTCCTGTTTAGGAGAAATAATCTACCATGTTCAAAGATGAAGAATTGTTGTATAGCTTGTTGCAGATCTCTACCATGGTCATTCTTCTATTTAAGATTGCAATAAGTGTTACATGGAGACTGCTGTGTTTCACTTTTTCTAACTAGATAATGGAGATAATAATTGTGTCATCAGGGTACAAAATCAGATATAATTTCAATATCAACCCATAAATTAATCAAATCAAATTTTCTCTCTATGTCACACATTCCCTACATCTAAAGGATAAATGGCAAGCACTGGAATGAATTGGTTGTTGCATTCCTATCTGTCTCCTCTACTAAAATGACATTCGTCATGTGCGGATTCTTTCCTTACGCAATGGAAATGTTCATTACATCATTCAGTTGGGCCCAAAGTCTTTGGTATTGCCATTGCAACTTTTTAAGTGGAAGCCACCTGCTCTTGCCCCCCTTTTTCAACATAACAATGGTGGGGGTTCAGAGTCTATCCTTCTTTAGGAGATTCACTGTAGAGGTATATGCTTTCCCCTTTTTTTCTTCCCTTATGTCATGGACTTTGGTGGTCCATCTGTTCAATAGATTAGGCCTGTGGTTCCCATTTCGTGAAATGCTACTCTATTGAACCAGAACCTTTTCTCCTTTGCATGAACTGAAAAAAGGTTGTGGCACAGGTGATTTGGTTTAGTTTTCATAGATGCAATTTTTTTATGCCACCTTGATGTTCTAACTTCTAACCTACCCTTCTTTCCTCTTCA